GAGGTTCTGCTCCCGGCTATCACTGATATCATAAATCAGTCCTTGCAGACGGGCATCTTTCCAGCTTCCCTCAAGTCCTCGCTCGTCATTCCCACACTGAAAAAACCCAGTTTAGAACCAGAGAGCCTCAATCACTACCGCCCCATATCTAATCTACCATTTCTTGGAAAAGTGATTGAACGTGTCGTCTGTAAGCAACTAATGTCATACCTTGATGGAAACTCTCTTCTGGCGTCTAGGCAGTCTGCCTACAGGCAGTATCACAGTGTGGAAACAGCCCTAGTAAGAGTCCAAATGATCTTCTCCAAACTTTGGATAGCAGAAATGAAGCAATCCTTGTCTTATTGGACCTTACCTCCGCATTTGATACGGTCGACCATCATATTCTTCTAACTGGGCTGAAAGAAAGATTTGGTATCACAGGCATTGCTGCTGACTGGTTAGCGTCATATCTTTCCAATCGGCAACAGCGAGTGTTGGTTGATCAAGCAACATCTGATCCAATTAGTCTTCGATGGGGCGTCCCCCAAGGATCAGTAATTGGCCCGTTGCTATTTGTATGCTATACAACTCCAGTTCAACAGATAATTCATGCACATGGCCTGTCCTGCATGATGTATGCAGATGACACACAGCTGTACATCTCTATGAACTCCGATGACAGAAATCGAGCAATCAGAAAGCTTGATGTGTGTCTTAAGGAGGTTCGAACGTGGATGGGAGGTAACCATCTCTTCTTAAATGACAACAAGACGGAAGTATTACATGTATCATCTCACATGAAGAGCAACCAGGAACTGCCACCTTTCTGCTTTGGAGAAATCAAGCCCGCTGAAGCTGTCCGGGACCTAGGGGTAGTCATCGACAAACATCTATCTCTTCGTCGCCACATAAATTTGGTGTGTCGCAGAGCTTCGTTCGCCTTAAGAAGAATTGGTGGTATTCGCCATCTCCTTAACCAGAAGACAACAGAAATACTGATCCATGCGTTTGTCACATCACTGCTGGACAACTGTAACAGTCTTCTCTTCGGCGTTCCGGACAAAGACATTTCCAAACTCCAACGAATTCAAAACTCTGCCGCCCGTCTTGTATCTATGTCAAGTAAAATCACATCACTCCCATCTTAAAGGAGCTCCATTGGTTACCTATTCCCGCACGCATCCACTACAAAGTTATCCTGCTCACATTTAAAGCAATCCATGGCCTTGCTCCTACTTACCTATCCGAGTTGATAGCCCAATATCTACCAACCAGATCACTCAGATCTGCCTCGCAAAATCTGCTAGTAATAAATAGAAGCCGAACCAAAACTTTCGGTGACAGGTCATTTGAATGTGCTGCACCAACCCTTTGGAACTCTCTTCCTAGCACTCTACGTGCTCAATCAGACAAAGACATGTTCCAGAAAGAGCTCAAGACATATTTGTTTAACATTTCCTTTTAATTTTGTACTGGTTCCAAAGGGTTGGTGCAGCACATACCATCTTTGTAATCATATTTATATTGTTGTATAATTATAATCATTTTCAAATATTACATGTATCACCTTTAATAGAAGCTATTTTCGATTTGTCTAATGTATAACGTATGCCTACTTGTAAGTTTTGATTATAATTATATGTAATTATTTCTATATATGTCTTTATTTCTATTGTCTTCTACATTTGTAAAGCGCATTGGTATTACCTTCGGTAATTAAATGCGCTATATAAGAGCTAACTATTATTATTATTATTATTTATGGCCTGTCACGCGATCGAGTTACACTTTTGCAAGGCATAAGTGAACCGGTAACATTGTTGAAGGTTGATGAACTGCGTAATTCTTATGAAATGTTACTTATTATATTCCTTCTGTACCGTACTAACCCTCTAACCCTCTAACATGCAAATATCCTGAAAAAATTCTCAAACAACAAAGATATTTATGATTATCTTTGAAGGCGTCACTGTGCAATACCCTCTAGCAGTAAATATTCCCAACCAATTTTTGAATTTTTCCAGCCGTTTTTTCATTGAAAATAAGAATTAAAACAGGCCTTAAAATCTTTTTCAACATTTTAATGTTGGAATGGAAAAACGAACCAATTCATTTGCTTTGTGACGATTTACATGATACCTACAATTTAATTAAATTATAATAATATAGTTGGGAGAATTTAGGAATCGATTAGATCAGTTGTTATCATTAATAAAGGTCTGTTTTCACTCAAACTTTCAGATTATCTTTAATTGTACATTTAGCATTGAAGTCGCTACCTTAGCACCATTTTCTCTTATCTGAACAATGTTTCCAAGTCCATATACTCTTTTATTTTGTTGTGCTGTGATAACATAATGAGGGCTCATATGCCTCCGGGTAATAGTGTTAAATTTCACTTTTGTGAGCCCTGGCCCACACGTTGCTCCCTCCCTTTTTCTCTTGTATTGTTTATGTATTGCATCATCTGTCAAAATGTATTTGTATTGTGCTTTAATGATTGACCTAATTAAATTAAAAAAATAAAAACATGATCACCGTTTCGCACAAAAACAAAGCGATATATATATAGAGGCTAAAACTGTTTTGAAAGTTGATTATTGCATGTATATACTTTGGAAAGTATATAGGAGAAGTTTGAAGTTTGAAGGGTATTGTAATTACTAATAAGGGCATTGTGTTTTGAAGATAGTCTTTCAAAGTTATTCTAATTTTGGCATAGATATAATTGCACTACATGCGCTAAATATCGCATATAACACTGAGTTACACGGCAGAATTGACCTTGTTTTAGTACAAATAGATTTGTGGTAAAATGACCAGGTCAAAGCAAGACCATTGTTTGAGGGGGTGATTATTTTCCATTTCCCTTTGAAGTTCAAGATTTCGAGGAACTGGCCGCTGGATAGCGTTTAATGACTAACTTCAAGGTCTCCGACAACCCATTAAAACGCGTTTTTCAAATTTAACACGTGCTTTCAGTGGATGTCGGCAAACTTGTTTCGTAAAACAATACCACGGTCTATATAGATACATGCTAATGATGTATTTATGTACCACAGGTGCTTACCTTTTTGACGGTTTTTTTTGTATACCGAATATAGTTGAGACCTGAATAGAAAACAATTTAGAATATCTTGAGAAATAAAAAGAGTGGAAACAAAAGATCAAAGAAGTTCAAATTTGTCCTGTTTCCACTGAGTCATCATACAGCTATGGGGAGCACTTCTTTCGAATGACGGAAAACACGGGGGAAGGGGGAAAAGAGAAAACGAGACAGAAAGAAGGGAAACAGGAAAGATATAAAATGTGTAAAAGATAGACGCCTCTCCTATAATTATCCTTCATTCATTTTCTATTTCTTTAGCCTTCTTCTCTCGCATTCACTCCAGAATATACTAACTCAGTAAGAATTTGTTCCCATCATATTTTATTTTATCATCAATGAATTGAAAATGTAGTGACTTGCAAGCACGCCAGCTAAGGTATTTGTTGCTTTGCCCGAAAGCAAAGTTCCCTCCGAAAGAATAGGAGTGAAACCCACCGAAATCATTGGTTCCATCGTTCGCACAGGTGCCCACTTCGGTGCACTCGACGACCGAACCCCCCCCCCCCCCCTCTCTCTCTCTCTCTCTCTCTCTCTCTCTTTGCTCTCTGTCTCTGTCCTCTCACTTTGTCTCTCGATCACTCACTCTCTCTCTCTCTCTCTCTCTCTCTCGTTTTCCCCCTCCCTCTCCCTCTCTATCTCGCTGTCGTATAAAGATATACATCCCTCTATTTAACTTTGACAGGTCTTTCTGGATGTATTCTTCCATTTAGAAATTAAAGTACTAGAAGCTCAGGATTGCATGTGCTTAATTCTAAACGTTCAGTTTGATTTGAGCAAAACCACACAATACAAAGAAGATTACTTATAGCACTGTCCATCTCGAAAAAGATTTTTAAAAAGAGGTGGTAGGTCCATGGTTTGAGGTAGGGTAGAAGCAGAGAAATGGGGATATAACATTATAAAGAGATGGAAAGAGAGAGAGGGGAAGTCGGATAAGATAAGATAAGATTTTATTTGACTCTATCGATCCCCTTCAGGGGTATGAGAGCACAACATAATTTACAACACAATACAGAAAGATATATAAAAACAAAGTAAAATATGATAATAAAATACATAGACATGATACATACATTTTTATATTTCTAAAACGCAATAAACATGAGCTAAAGACTAAGTATATTAAGTTATAAGTCTAAAATATCACGTGGTTTTGTTTGTCTACCACTATGCTAGGGTTACTCACAACAAACTGTCTATCTAAGTATAACTGCCTTTCTTTCTTCAAAAAAGGGCAGACAAAAATATAGTGAAATTCATCTCCAAAAACCTTTAAATTACAACAAGGACATTCATTTTCGATTCGGAATATACAAACTCAGAGAGGGTTTACCGATTGGAAGAGTGAGTGTGTGAGAGAGAGAGAGAGAGAGAGAGAAAGGGAGAGAGAGAGAGGGAGAGAGAGAGAGGGAGAGTGTAAGAGAGAGAAAGAGAGAGAGAGAGAGAGTGTGCGTGTGTGTGTGTGTGTGTGTGTGTGTGTGGAATACATGGAATAGAGAGATGGAGACAGGGTCGATGCGTTCGTGAGAAAGACTGGTATCCAAACACATCATCAATTCAAACATAATTATGTTCCTCATTTAGAAAAATCCATCTTGGACGCACGCGTCCTGGAATTATCAATGGGTTTTCATTGGACATGACAAAAGACAGAAACATTTCGTAAGAAATTCCATATTGTGTCTTTGCACGGTGGAGTCCATTGTGTTTTCGGTTCAGTGGTCGAGAAGTGAAGGCTGGGAACGTATATTAGGTGAAGGTAATAGAGATAAAAAGGAAGAATGCTGACAAACTCAATAATTAGAAGGGTGTTCGGAGAAACAGGAAGCTTTTAAGAACAATGAGTGTGGTTCTGGCAGATCAGATCACTGAGAATTGACCGTTTTGATTTCTCATCTTCTAAAGAAATCGAAATGCTACCAAATCACTATGGTTAATATAGCCGCCCTTAATTCTCTAAGCCTAAGGTATCTATGATACACTGGAGAAGCTTGTAACTTACAACACCAATGCAATACTGATTTGAAGGAAAAATTTAACGTGGAAACTTAAAGAAGATGGATTCAAATGAAAATGACTTCAAGCGTCGGACGTCACTCTCATCCAGTCTACGTCGACTTCAAAAGCGGCATGGCACGATGTCGGCAGGTGATCTGGAGCTTATCCAACACGACTACGCGCAAAACGAAACCGACGTCGAATGTCGACCGAATCCTGATGGAAAGTCCAGAGACAACGTTCATCATTCTTCAGAATCTAAAGTATCAAAAGCGAAGGAAAAACTTCTCGTGTTTAGAAGAAACTTTGGACCATTACATTGCACAGCAATACTCCTCGGCGTCCTCATCAGTTTCGGATCATTATTTTCAGTACGGGAAATTTTTGTGAATTGTGGGGGTCTCCTTCCCGCGCTTTTAGTATGGCTGTCTGCTGGAGCGATGATGTTCGTAGGAGCACAGTGTTACTCGGAGCTGGCGACGTCCATCCCCAAATCGGGCGGGGACTTCGTGTACCTCTACCACGCCCTCCCCACACCCATGCCCGCCTTTATGCAGGTGTGGATGGGCCTAGTGATGGGGTCTGGGGCAACTATTTCAGCTCTCGCGAGGATGGGCGGGGTCCAGTTCCTCAAGTTGGTGTGCAGACGGTGTGATGATATCGATAGATCTTCGCCGCTCGTCATCCTTGTCGCAGCCCTCATCATTTGTGAGTTGAAAAAAAAAGGAGAAATCGATTGACAGTTTTCATTTTTACACCCCTTTTGTTTGACTAAATAAGGGTCAGTTTCATAATTATAATCCGATCGTTGTAATAAATTATACATATTTGTAATTTCTTTGATGAATATAATCGAATCCAATATGAAATTACAGGTCATATTGTTCATATAATAATATCTTGAAAGTATCATCATTTCCATAATCAGATGACCATCACTGATTTTCCCTGTTATTAAAGTGTATATTTAAGATGAGTAAATCCCAACAGTGGTCAATGGAACATAGAAAATAATGTCGGTAAGATGAAATCGAAAACTTGAACATCTAAAGTAAGACTGGGAGGGGGAGGGGATCTCTCTCCTTCACCCGAGGACGTTTTCACTTTTAGCCTTTTATGTTTGTTACAAATATTAATTTTCTCTGAGTTAAATTCCAGCCGTTTTTTGCAACAGCACTCCAATCAAAATTTATTTTCTGCAAGGGAGTGTAATATTTAAAAAAAATTTATTTCGTCTTGCAGGTTTACTTATCATGATGCATTGTCGCAGCTCTCTCATATCAGCATGGGTTCAGGTAATCCTGACATGTATTAAGCTCGTCTCATTCACTTTCATCATCGTTCTTGGGTTCGTTCACCTCGCCACTGGTAGGTTGATTTTTATTTTAGGCTTTGTTTAAATAATTATTTCTTTGTTTGTTTGTTTGTGGTTTGTATGTGTGTGTGTGTGTGTGTGTGTGTTTGTTTGTTTGTTTGTTTGTTTTGTTTTGTTTTGTTTTGTTTTGTTGTTTTTTTTTTTTTTGGGGGGGGGGGATTAAGGTTATTGCTAGTGACTCATTTTGCGTCAACTCTGGATTCTATAGCCTGTCAACATGAAGGATTATTTCGGGAATCCCAGAAGCCCTATATCCAAACCCTTTCGGGGAGGGGCTGTCAATATAATTCAGATTGTCTTCATTTTTTTTTCTCGTATCATCATAATTATTGAATATTCCATATGAACATGCTTCGTGTCCCACTTTCGTCAACTATGGACTCGAGAGACAATCGAGATAAGCTTGTCAAAATGTAAGATGGTTTTGGGAATTCCATCAGCCCTATATTTGTTTCCTCGGGTAATATCAACATGCCTTCCTACTTTGTCTTATTTGCATCATTGTATGGTTATGCAATGTAACACATTCTAAGAAATTAGGTATATATTAACCAGCAGTGGATGCACAGTCTTAGAAAAAAATTTTTTCTCGGGAATACGATTTTGGGAATCCCTGGTCCGAAAGAGGAAATGGTTGGGCGGGATTTCATTCGATACACAACAATCTTCAACCTTAAGAAGGCCCAAGTTTCGTCTATTCTTTTCCCAATGGTGGTGGAGGGGTATGTGTCGGCGCCATATTATAATGGGCTTGAAATATTTTGAAATGTCTCATCTATCTTTACAAATATTTGTTGGCAAATCGGATAAAATATTTTATATTTACATGTATATACTTTTATTTTCTATAATCCTTTTTCTTGAATGTGTGTCATGTAAGTTGTGTGAAACATACCTGCCATGATGGAATAGAATGAATCTATAGCATTCTATAAAGTAGGCCTAAAAATGTATAAGAAAATGATTAGGCCTACATCCTATGGTTATCTCTGTTAACCAATCTGGACAAGTATAATTATATTGATTGAATGCAATCATTTTGGTATTTGAATAAATTTTGTAAAAATACATGTATATCCAGATTTTCTTTTTGTATCAAAACACCAGACTTTTCCAACAATTTTTGAATAAGTTGCCCTCTTTCTTAACAGGACGGACATCGAACTTGAGTGAAAATTTGTGGTATCCCCTGCCGACTAATGAGGCAAGTCCCATGGTGGCATTCGCTGTCACCTCCATGTCCTTCTCGGGATGGTAAGTCTTAAGAGATACAACAGAAACCCTTCATCATTATCTCCAGAATCATCATCATCATCATTAATATCATCATCACCATCACCATCATCATCATCACCATCATCATCATCACCATCACCATCACCATCATCGTCATCATCATCATCATCATTACCATTATCATTACCATTATCGTCAACAACATAATCCTCACCACCATTATCATCATCACCACCACCACCATTATCATCATCATCATCATCATCACCCTTATCATCATCATCATCATCACCACCACCATCATCAACATTGTCTTCATCATTATTACTCAGCCAAAGAATGGGCGGAATTTTTTTTTTTCGGGCAACTTTTACATAATAGCATGAGAAATGGCGATGGAATAGGCGTAGCGGTTATACATTACATGCACACATAGTCCAAAGTTAACAGGTTTCATAACACTGATCTAATTCCCAACTCCATCAATGCATTCACCGAATTGAAGCCAAATATAATGACATGGAGTAAAGTCATCGGAGCAAATATTGGAACACTCGAATGGACAACCATCATCGATTCTCAGAGAGTTGCAAATTATGTTAATGAAAATATTATGCAGTAGATCTATGGTAGTTTGGGGGCAAGTTCATGGTATATCCCATACGTTACCAAATGATATTTGATTGTTTTAATTATGGAATTGTTAACATGAATTGATATAAATATGATTTTATTTGATGTTTTGATACAGAAGTCAGATATACTGAAATTTTGGTTGTAATGATTTCGACTTTGTCCTTAGCGACGCTGTCGTTTTTTTTTACACCTAAAATTTCCATCTGAATTTATTTCATACTTTTCTAGGCAAACTCTCAGTTTTGTTACAGAAGAGATCAAGAAAACAGAGAGGTAAGTTTGATTTTGATTTATTCGTTTTCTTTAATCGTCAACAAAGTCCACCAAAATGGACTCTAAAATTGCATCTGGTCGTATTTGAGGTTGTAACAACTATCGTCTGTTCAGAGCCAGAAGGTGTTAACTCACAGACTTTAACAAAGGGTTAATACCTTCTGGTTCTCAACAGACCTCTCCTTATTGTGTTTGTCATAAAGTGATCAAAACAAGTTTACCTCAGGTCCAGGGCGCCGTTAGATAACAATTTTAAATGGGAAGGGTTTTGTGAAACCCAATCGCCGGCAAAGCTGTAGAAAGTCACTAGAAACTTACAACAGTCCCCGATTTTCACATAATTTTCCCGAAAGTTCATAAAAAAAGGTCAACAAACAAGCCCACTTCAAAAACGGATGTTAGAGAGACACGATGGTTCACTCCAGTTAAGAGCAATGGTCCGGGAGGTCCCGGATGCGAAACCAAATCAGTGCTCTACTGCCCTTTGGCAAGGCATTAACCATATTTCCAAGTCCCTCGCATAGGACTCAAAGCCGTTGAGCGTGAGAGCTCTAGCTCTTAGTATCATGAGACAAAATATACTATGTCGCAGAAGCGGGGGTAGCAAAACTGTCAACTTAATTCCTCTTCAACAAAAAAGAAATAGAAAGAATCACGAAACAGTATAATACTGAAGAAATATGTCAGTTTGTTAGCAGATTAAACAAGAAAATCGATTTCGAGTAAACTACATGTGTGTAAAAAAAAATGTGAAATTATGAACCACGAACCTGTCTCCGTTTCACTTTCTACCCCCATAGAAACATCCCGTATGTGACGTCATTCTCGGTTTTGATTGCTATTGCCTTATGTATGGCGCTCAACCTGTCATATGCCACACTCCTCACCCCGCACGAGTTACTATCCTCACAGCCCATCATCATGGTAAGGATCCATTTTGTATTCGAAATAGGACTGAATCATTTATGCGATACTAGATGGAGAGGCTGTCGTGATCCGAGGCTTCCTTATCGTAGGGTTTATACATCCAGGTCTCTTAGACCAAAACCACTATCATACGATGTTCAAGTTAATTTATTGTGAGCTGATTTAAACGAAGTAATGATAATTGGTAATGATAATGATGATGATAATAATAGTAATGAAGAATATAATAATAATTAAAATGAAAATGATAATAATGAAAATAATAGTAAGAAGAAAAGAAAAAGACGGGTAGGTGAAGAGAAAGAAGAATATTGATGTTAATAATGATAGTGATGATATTAGTAATGATAAATTCATGTAATAATAATAATGACAATCATCACCATTTTCGTAATAAAGAATTCTTTATTATAATGCATATCATAATGATGATTCTTAATTATGTATGCGCTTCCAAAGTTTGGGTATCGTCGGTTCGTCACCCTATCTTTATTATAACGTAAAAGGATTATTACCATTAAAAAAAGGATACGCTCAAACAGTTTACAAACATACTTACTCATTATTTCATGTATCCTTTTATTTGCCAGTTAATCGGACATAAAGTTCTTGGATCGTGGTATCGTCTCGTTCATCTACCTATTTTGGTTTGCACCCTCTCGGATATCAACATTATTATCTTAATAATCTCCAGGTTAGAAAACTTTTTTTGTTGAAATCCCTATTATTTTGGTTGAATAGGTAAATGGGAGAAGATGGCGAGACACAGTACCGTCACCCACAGCTTCATTAAGAATCGACATTGTAATGTTTCTGACCTGTGTTTTCTATTGTTAATGAATAATTACAATTTCCCTTTTAATATCAATTTCATTATGAAACTGCTCAAGTTATAGACATAACTAACTACCTTACCTACTTCTGATGTCAAAAACAATCACTGTGCGTTCATCTATTTCTTTTATGTTGTGTAATAATTTGATTGAAGCAACCGCATGTTATTCATTTGTCTATGTATCAGGCTCGACTACAATTCCATTGGGTAAATCATTTCAACCATTGTTTATTATGTATTATTTGAAATCAAACCTTTTGGTTGCAATGTAGAAATACAAATACTATGTGGTAAAGAGGTAGGCATAGTCGATATATCAGCCGGAAAGTCTATGCTGGATAGAAATGATTTTATATTTGAAGAAAAAAATGTTATACGTGTAGCAAAAAAACAAGAATACTAAATTCTTTTGTTTGTCAATAATGAAAATAACTAAATTTATAAATATAACAATGTGTATGTTTATATAAGAATACTGACGGCCTAACCATAAATATGTGGAAATACGAAGAAAAAAAATTGAATCATTTCCACAGGATACATTTATGAAACCTGGGGGGCGATTCACAAAACTTGTCATCAGTGACAAATGACAATTTGTGTTATAAGCTAGTGAAATCCTTGCTTCTGATTGGTTATCAGCAGATTTGTCACTTTCATTATTTGTCATTGGAAAAAGGCTCTGTGAAACGCCCCCCAGGGAGATGAGTGAGATATCTCAGTGGAAACAGAAATGCTATAATTTTTCATCTCATATGTATTTTTTTCTAGGATGTTTTTCTCGGCTGGACGAGAGGGGCAGGCCCCTAGTCTCTGGGGAATGCTCAGTCTCAGACACAGCTCCCCATCTCCAGCTATTCTTGTTATGGTGAGGTTGTTTCTGTTTCTTATATTCTGTATGTATAGAGGAGATGGGGTGGTTAGGCTTAGGAAATTCGGCTTGTACAAGTTTGAGATCAACCTTTTTTGTGGGGAGGGGGTGGGGTCTTTTTAGCCTTTTCAGTTTTATTAGTCTCTTCGTGGATGCGAATGATATAGTTTAAGCGGCTTTTAAAATCTGTTCTACTTAACTCTGATTCTCTGAGCAGAGTGTGTTTACATACTCAATCAGTTTGAAAGTGTTTTACCATGGTCCATGGTTTTACATTCTCTCTATATAGTATATACTCACGCGGTGAGGTATAAACCCCAATTCTTTCTGAGGACGATGACATGGGTAACGCCGTTACACACTATGTATGAATACAAATGGAACACAGTGTGATAAAACTATGGTAACACTTGTCTATGTCACTCTGTTCTTTCCGAGAAGGTGGATCCATAATTCATTCTAATTGTAATTTGACTATGATATTAATAACAAATATATAAATTCATACTTTGAAATGCCCGTATAATAATGTAACCTACTGAGCACATCGAAGCAATATCAGCTACTATTTTCAGCTTTCATGAATTATCCTGTAAACATATATTATTTACTGCTCACTGGTATACACTCCATGTTGTAAATATATTTATACTTGACTATGCTAATCATATGAAATTTTTCAGCTGCCCATCGCCCTCCTTCTCCTGCTCGTGGACATTACTCCTGTCTTGTCCACCCTTGGTCCATTCCAATGGCTGACCAGTGCGATGGTGGTAGCGACCCTTCCTATCTATAGGATACGATACCCCAGCCTGGAACGACCATTTAAGGTATAAGGAATGCCTCATAACAATCAACATTTCTTCTTTATGTTTTGTTTCCTCTTTATTAATACTTTTTAAGATTGTATGTCATGTGAGTCCATGCAGATCTTTTTTCTTCTTCATTTATTTATGTTTTTGGGGGAAAGGGTGGGCTTGTAACGAACAGTCACGTATCACGGGTGGCCCGTGGCATAATGTTAGTACACGTGAGAAAATGTGTTCCTCTAACTATGTATCTGTGCCCCCTTTCAAATTGGCAACCCTAAAGATATAAAAATGCAGTATCCCATCACCTTTTTTTGCCTGTCTTTCTTTAATTCTTTATGTTTTTCTTTTGTCAATTAGCACCTTAAAATGTGTTACCCCTTTTTTTCGGTCAGAGTTTTCTGTGTACCCATCTTTTTACAAAAATCCTAGAACGGAATTGCACTTTTTGGTTTCAGTGTTCGCCATTATGTCCGTGATTAGATGAATGTGTTTTTATCAGGTAGGACAAATTCATCTTAAATACAGATTTTATGAACATGTTTGATAATGTATCAATCAACTTATCTCTTTATTATTTTGTATTCAGTTTGGAAAGTAAACTTGGAAAATAATGATCTTAAAGAGAAATAATTCAATCAAATCAAATCTAATCTATAATCGTATTCATCTTGCAGGTTCCTCTGGTGTTTCCGTTCATCTACATTCTCTACTGTATATTTCTGACAACGCTAGCCGTCTACAACAATCCCCGTGTACTGGGCCTAGTTCTTGCTATCATAGTCCCAGCCTTCCCGCTTCAAATCATCCTCATCAGGTTCAAAAGACCGAGAAGATTTCTTAGATCAGTCGGTGAGGAAACAGCCTTTAAATTTATTTGTTTTGATCATTTGATTTGTATTTATAATCTTTTGAAAAAGAAGGTAGCATTCATTTCTGCTCGTCATTTTCGCATTTACCCCCCCCCCCAGTGGCGGATCCAGGGGGGGGGGGGCAGGGGAAAAATGTGTATTTTCAAATTTTTGGGAGGAAAAAAAAAAATTAGTGCTCACTACCCCCCCCCCCCCCCCCCCCCCCCCCACTGAGCAAAATATTCACGACTTTCATATTTCAGCACACTAAATTTCAAATTGATTTCAAATTTGGGCCCCCAGCCCTAAGAAATCCTGGATCTGCGCCTGCCCCCCCCCCAACTACTATTAGTATTGTCTATAACAATCATATTCGAAGCCTGCTCATTTTTAAATCTAACTTAAAGAGACAAACTCCTTAATCTTATTCAAATTTTTAAACGCAACTTGAAGAGAAATTGTTATCCCACATTGTAACAATCAATCATGATTGTATCTATAGCCTTCATTAATAAAGGAGTAGACATTAATATTTCAACTTTATTCCCTTTAGGACATGTGACCCGTTTTCTCCAGAAGCTGCTTCTGGTTGCTAAACCCGATGATGGACAAGCCACAAAATTTTAATCGGAGAATGGAACAGACTGGTGCTTTACTCGAAACATCCCATTTAACGCACCCGGCCATGATATGCTCCATGATTTTTCTAGAAGCTACACATCTGACTGAAAAATATGGTGGCATTGAGCAAAGTTACACATAGAAGTTCAGAAAGGAACAAAATGGCGCTACTACAACATCACGCCATGAAATTAATAATTGATGATCATGGTGATATTTAGGGGCCGACTAAGACTGAAACTAGACCCCGGAACTTCGATGCGACTGACCTACTGTTTGATCAATCAAATCGGAACTCCAGCCACTAATCGGCCCCTAATCGGCCCGCCACCGACCCTAAAGACAAAAGCCTACCAGTTAATTTGGAACACTATTCTTCCGATTTTCAGTCTACCTATAACAACGATGAGGATATTGATGGTGCTGCTGATGATGATGATGACGACGATGCTGATGATTGTTTCTTAGTATCCCGCCGGAATACTCGACTGCAGATCAGAGCGGTCGTGCCGCTTGCTAATATTTAGGTTTGACAGAATTCCGTTAGGGCATTCATTCGAATGGAAAAGACATCTGCTATTTTAAAAGACTTCTGAAAATGATATTAGGCTCTAGATCAATATTGCAGGGCTAAAATTAGTCCAATGCATGTATTCGCTGTTTTTTAACATTAAACAAATCTCCGTAAAAGGGGTACTTTTTCGCGCGACAAACTCCTGCCCGCCTTTTTCACACTGGAGATGGGTGCTTTCAAAAAGAGGGAACATGCATACGCGTACCCTAAATTACACTGAGTTGGGAGGGGGAGGAGGGGGGGGGGGGGGGGGGGGGGGAGCGGAGCCGGGCTCCCAATACATGGAAAATAAAAATAAAAAGACATTTACATCTCGATAGGGGGTGATGGCCGAATTCAGCATAAAGGGCTACTTTTATACTTGTATTTCCAGCAGCAATAAAGAAGTGAAATGGTTCATATTATTCCATACAGTTTCTTGTCGTCTTGTGTCATATTTTTCGTATAGCGTTTTATCAGACCGTTTACACGGCTGCATACGAGTTTGCTGACTATAGGATGAGGATGACTGCGCATTTAATTTCAACGAAGCCCCAGTCTTTTCGACGGCGTCAGAAATAATATTTTTCTTTTCTTTCTTTTTCTATTGTTAGTACTTTGAACCATGTAACAGCGCTATTTATAAATTATGTACATTGTACTGAAGCAATATTATGTGAGGGAGTGAAGCGACTGAGTTTTAGCAAATTTTCCCATTTCAAGCCCTAATAAAATAGTTTCTAATGTAGCTGACTCTGCATATTGGTAGATAATAATTACTGTCCGCGAAATACCATCATAGATCCGACCATACTAAAGATTTTTATGGTACAAAGTCCAGTTATTCTATGATGATACTAGGTCAATATTTCCAGGTCAATAATACATGTATTTATATTGACCTGGAAAACTTGACCTTTTATGACGTAATGCGTGGAATTGACATGCCGATCAATGTAATCTGGACGGCGGATCATCTGCTGGTTAGATCTTGAGCTTCAGCTATCTGGTGGCAGATTTGAGGGGGCACAACCGGGTCGTGCCCCCTTTAAACACTCAATCACACATTCATGAATAATGCTGGCCACTAATTTTAATCGTTTCGTGAGCCCCTTTTAATTTTCCAACCTAAAGAGGCATCTGAATATAAATACACACACGTACATAGAATTGTTTTGGGCTTGTCAGAGATATTTTGTGATTGCCAGGTTTGCCCCCACCCCCGAATCCAGGGTTTTGAGATCGGATGGACTTTGCCAATACAGATATTTACTAGGGGTATGGAATGCACGGTGACAAAGACAATAAGACATGTTCCCCGCCCTCCCAATCGAATGAGAAAAAGGAGAGAAAGAGAGAGAGAGAGAGAGAGAGAGAGAGAGGGGAGGGTAGATGGAAAATACAACGTGAAAAGAAGATATACTCTCGATTGCCTTGTTCTCTCGTATGTCATCAATATTAAAAAAACGGACACCCCCCCCCCCTCAATGGCCGGATCCATGCTACGCCCCCTTCTAGGTGCCCCTGCGGGTAAGAGGCCCATAAAACTTGACTCCAGTTTTGTCCAACTATGACATTTAAAGAAGCGAAGGTTCGATATCCATTCTTTATTTCATTTTTATCCACTTTTGCAAAATGTCAAAAACTTTCCAAAGATTCGAACCTTGTCCACCGCAGTCGGAAACTTAACACTAGTGTCAGTTACTATCTGGGCCCTCCTGGTGACAGCAGGCCCAGATAGCTCTTAACCCTAACTTGGCTCGGTGACGAAAAGCGACAAAATCTATGGCGTTAAGCATGTTTGGATCAGCGGTAGAGCATTTGCCTAGTGTGCCCGAGGTCCAAGGTTCGATATTAACTCTTTATTTCATTCTTATCCACTTTTGCAAAATGTCAAAAACTTTCCAAAGAATCGAACCTTGTTCACCGCGGTCGGAAACTTAACACTAGTGTCAGTTACTATCTGGGCCCTCCTGGTGACAGCAGGCCCAGATAGCTCTTAACCCTAACTTTGCTCGGTGACTAAGAGCAACAATATTTCATGCGTTAAGCATATTTGGATCAGCGGTAGAGCATTTGCTTCGTGTACCCGAGGTCCAAGGTTCGATATCCATTCTTTATTTCATTCTTGTCCACTTTTGCAAAATGTCAAAAACTTTCCAAAGAGTCGAACCTTGTCCAACGCGGTCGGAAACGTAACACCAGTGTCAGTTACTATCTGGGCCCTCCTGGTGACAGCAGGCCCAGATAGCTCTTAACCCTAACTTGGCTCGGTGACGAAAAGCGACAAAATCTATGGCATTAAGCATGTTTGGATCAGCGGTAGAGCATTTGCCTCGTGTACCCGAGGTCCAAGGTTCGATATCAACTCCTTTTCTTTTTGTTATCTTACGTTTTTGCCTCAATGAACTACAAACATGTTTAAATCTTTTCAGGGAATCGAACCTGGGCCACCAAGGTCAGAAACTAAACGATATAGGTAGTTGGTATTTAGTCGCTTCTGTGGGCATTTGGTCCAGATATGTAGATCAGTGAGGATGGCGCCACTTGCCTTCTTAAATCATGAGATATGCTGGTGAAAATTTTGGGCGCTTTTCTTCTTCTCCTTCCCAGTCCTCTTCTTCTCATTCTCTTTCTTCTCCTTCTTCCCTTTCTTCTTTATCTTCAATATCCCTTTTCCCACTTTTTTCTTTGTTTGAATTTGACTGTTCACCTTTGCTCCCCATGTATATTACCGATGATCGGGTAATCTTTCAAGGTAGGATTTTGGGCGATCTTGATCAATAATCACATGCTTTATATTGTCCACACTTTAGGTACTACATGCTACATGGCAGATGGATAAACTGACATTTGGCAGGCATTTATTTTTTGCACTACGGTATATAATACCATTTAAAGTAAGGACACAAAATTAAGGATAACAAAAGAAAGAAAAAAGCAAAGGAAGAGGAGGAATTAGAATAATAATAGGTTAGCTGTTCTGTATTCCAGCGGTGGCATTCTGAAAACATTATTTTTTATGTTAGTAAGAGGTATTTTAAAGCCCTTCTCAGTAAAGTTTGGGAGCCCTAAAAATGTTGACGGCAAAATTAGACTTAAAATGTATCAAAATGTTAAATAGGATGTCATTTAAGACAAATTTCTGCAAGGATTTTCAAAACAAATGTGTTTGAAGTCGAATATTCGTGAAAGACTACATGTTCTGCATACAACAGAAAACCAAAATTATGTATTCTTTTATCAATATTTGCCTTCAAACACATTTTTTTTTGGAGGGGGGGGGGGGGGAGTGTTGGGAATCTTTGCAGAAGTGTGTCTTCACTCAATGACATCCTCTTTCACATTATGATACAATTCAAGGGAAATTTTGCCATAAAATTGTTGGCGAATTTGTAATAACAAAATCTATATCAGAACAAGCCGTAAGTTAATGTTTTGCACATACCAGCTACACCTAAAATTCAGAGAGATCTGTGCAGGTAACCAATGATAAGTGTTTATTCTGCACAACTTCAATTTGGTAAGACAATCATAGAAAAGATAACATATTTTCAGAATACCATTCCTGCTCTTAATGTACAATAATCAGACCAAACAACAACATAAATATGATATTTCTGATATACTTTATTTGAAAATATCTTGGCATCCTCCTTTCTTCTTCAGAAACACATCTTTACAACATTCATATCACTATAATATATTATACACAATTAACATAGTACATGTTATTACTACAATGTATTTAAAACATAAAACAATACATTGAGGACAAGAGATATATATGCTGTATATACATACACAGTATAGCATGTTGACATTGCATTTCATATTTATTTCTTTTAAATAAGAATTTAAAAACTTGTAAGGTCAAATAAGTAATTACTTGTCATGCATAAGTACTTGTATTTTCAGCAGAAAAAAACCCCAATACTATATTTGAATGATTCATAGCTGTTCAAGTATTGGTCGTCTAAAACAACTTGATCATACGTGGTGAAAATTGTGTTTTTTCTTCTTTTTTTTTCTATGACCTGATCATACCATACGAGCTGTAGGAAAGTAATCATTAGAATGTAGAGGTGTCTTACAAATAATAAAAGATTGAAAAGATTAGACTCCCATATCCAGACCATCAACATCTTTCATTACAATCATAAACAATAGCCAGAGAAAAAATCACCATTCATTCATTTTGAGATAATTCCCAAGACCCTTTTATGAGATTATATATCATGTCAACAGGCCTAGACTCCACCATATAAATATATTTGATATTTGACTGATTATCAGACTGATTGAAATTCATTTTGCAGTGGTACAAAATTTTGCATGGGGGTTAGTACGGATTATCATCACAAGGTAACTTTGGAACAGTCTGATAGTGTTTAGACTGTTTCCATGTTACCGAGGGTGGATAATTACACTTCCGCCCGATATAATAATCAATCATTCAAAGGAGAAAACCCCCTCCCCCAAAGAAAAGAATTAAATAGACAGAAAAGAATTGAGTAAAAAATGAACCTGCATAAAGTTAATATCTGCTTCAATAATGAAGACTGCTTTAAAAAAAAAGCTGTTTTAGTAATTAAAAAAAAGTTGTACATACAGACAGAATAACCTTGATTACAAGTATTGAAATTCTAATTTCCTATCACTCAGAAATGCCTTTATGTCATTACTATAATTCAATGATCGACAAATTTCAAATTTCTTTCAGTAAATTATGTCATTTATAGAGAAAACTGTGTTGTAACAAACATCAAGGTCAAACTTAACAGCATGGAATGCTAAACAACTAAAACTAAACATTGGTCAGTTATATTATTTTATATTCATAATTTCAAATACATGTACATGTTTATCTGTTGAAGTAAGTAAAATGGCAAGCTTTGCTTTATGGAAAAGTTGAGATTATTATTTATTTATTGAATTATGCTGTATCCTCAAAAGACTGTAGCAGCTCAAATTCCAGATTAAAACTTAATTTAGATTTCTATTCAACACATCTATCTAAGACCAGAAAAGCTTATTACCTATGTTTAGGATTGAACCAGATTTTAGAACATTCAATAGGATTTATGACAGAGATTTAGTCAACTTTATCAGATTTTTAATTTTCACGGTTATAAAAAGCTACATATATAGCAGCGGTCTTTAAAGCCCCAAGAACTAGTTTGGCCAGGAGGGATTAGACCTCCCTGCATGGTCACCGACAGGTGTTAATCTCATCAAATCAGTATTCAATTACCATAAGAAAAAGGGGACCATGGGGGACCAATGGTCACCGATTAGGCATTGTTTGCTATATAGAGGGCGCAAGTAGCTATAAGTAGTGCAGAGGGGTTTTAAATAATGACATGAAGTCTTCACTTGTTCCATCTTAAATATCAGTAGTGTTGCATAAGCATCATTTGCCATTTCTTACAGAAGTTAGTTTCTCTAGGACTTTGATTCCATTCAGGAAAACATTCAGAAACATCATCGTCTGAATCAATCTGCACGTTTCAGTCAAAGCTTTTTCTCTATAATTCCATGGTCCAATTTCTCATTAGAGATGATCACCGCCACTTGACAAGTCCTCCAGAGGCTCGATATGTAATCACGCCCTACCTGGCAGTCTTCACTCCTACGATTGCTGATGGTGGCGACCTAATGTTCGTTGCGGTTCAAACCCATCACATGATCATCTCACCTCCTCTACATGATCTCCTATAGTGCGAGTCCCTCGAATGACGGCCCTTCCTCTGCACTCTCCTGTTTATTCCTAAGATGGTCGATGGTGTTGTTGTAGTGCTTGGTGATCTGTTCCGTCTCATCGTTGTCCTCAAGGTTTGGCATGTCCTCTCTGATCTTGTCCAGGAGTTGGTTCAGCACCTGGATAGTAATCTGAAGACAAAAGCGAAAACAAAACAGAGTTTACAGTAGGCTTGCGGTTGCACCATGTGAGGGGGGAGGATTGGGGGGACCTGGACAGGACTGTCCTTAATCTTTCTTTCTTGAGTGTGTGTAGTCCTGAAATAAGGAGCATCTAAAACAGAGTTCACTATAGAGTAAGTAAGGAAGGTCTACCTTGTCATATTTGGCGACAGACATGGTATAAATAATGGGTTGATTGTTTTGGAGATACAAAATTTAAAGAATAGGTCATAACCACTATTTACATTAAAGCAGGACTGCACTACTTGCGCCTTCTATATAGCAAACAATGCCTAATACTCGTTGGTCCACCATGATCCCCTTTTTCTTATGTTAATTGAGAGCTGAGTTGATGAGATAGCCACCTGTCAGTGACCACGCTGGGTGGTCTAATCCCTCCTGGCCAAACTAGTACAGAGAGGCTTTAAATCCTTGTTCAGATATGCAGGAGTAAACCGTGGCACTTTTTTTTTCATGACGTGAAGTTCATACACTTTACATTTCTGTATCTTAAACACAGAGCTAACTTTCATTTACATGTAAAAAACCATGGCGGTTTTCTTTCAGCAGTTTCCTGCATCATTTCTGAACGAGCCAGTCACACAGCAGATTCCTGTTATCCCCAGAAAGTTTGACTTAATGTATGAAATGATATTACAAATTATGCAAACCACTGCTGAAGATCGTTGCTTTCCCCCAATAAAAGTCGATCTGACCAATCTTGATTTAATGTTTGGGAGTTTTATCATAGCTAATCCTGGTAAGCTACACGTCAAAGAAAAGTGGCATTTATGATCCACGGCTATAGCTTGTCAAGGTGGTCCTTGCAGTAGACACATCAGTCAGATCAAATCATTTACGGTATTGCATGAGAGATCAATCATCTGACAAGTTCATGTTGATCTTACCTGATCATTACCACGCTCATAGAAGTAGATGTATCTGTTGAGGATCTCTACAAAGAGCTGCACCTGAACAGTAGGGTCCATACACTGGTTGGCGATCCGCAAGGCTTTCTTGAGACACTCTGCTACCCTCTTGCCATCATGGATCTACAAGAAATGGAGATAAGAAACACCATAGACCGGTTAAGAGCTGAACAGTAGTGTCTGTGCATTGGTTAGTGATCCTGAGGCTTTCTTGAGGCACTGTGCAACCCACTTGCTATTATGGATCTACAAGATATGGTGAAAAAGACACATGGACTGAACCTGAACAGTGGTTGGTGATCCTTAAGGATTTCTTGAGGCACTCTGCTACTCTCTTGCCATCAGGGATCTACAAGAAGATAATATGACAGGTGTGCAGGTTGACAGTTGGAACAATGCTTCATACCAGTGATCGGATATTTGCTCTGGACTTTATTTCATCAAATATATGTAAGGAAAGTGTTTAGTAGAGTTTACAGAAAGTGTTGGATATTGAAAATGGAGCAATTGTCACAGCATATATGATCATTTGAAAACAGAATATTTGGAATTGCAAAGTAAATGTGATTTTAGCTGTCCAGTCTGAAAATAAAGCCACGTGAATACTGCATTAAGGCAGTTTTAGACCAGAAGCAGTGATCCCAATGGGTAGGTGATTGAACATTTATTCAAATCAAAGATATTAATATAAACAATGCCTTGAAACTTCAATTCTACTATCAAAGTATCACAGGATATCAGATCAATATGCAAATTTTTCTCAAAGCCTGCTCGTCTTCAGATCGTAATGTATGCAGTGGCCTCAATAAGAGGACCTAAGCAACAAGGACATAGGTTTAAGTCTCACCTCTTCACCGTTGCTCTCCGTACTCCTTCCGGACCAGAAGAGGTGGGAGCAGACACCGACCCCGCGGCACTGGTCAGGCTTCTTGAGTAGTTTGGAGGCGGCAAGGGCGCATTGCGTCCGTAGGGGTTCATGGTTCTCCTCTCCGAAGCAGCTCATGCGCTCAAAGGTAGCGATGATGAGGGTGATGGCTGCCAGCTGAGCCTTGGAGTCGCTGATCTCATCCTCATAGAGGGAGAAGGCCTGCAAGAGAAAAGTAGAAGTAACGATTATATAAAAGCACACACCACATTAAGTTCCTATGTATCAAAAAGAGTACGGGAACTTAAAGAAAGAATTTTAAAAGCTGTTAAACAGAACCAACTGCACACTTAATGGCGAGACTACAAACAAAATTTCTCATGAAATAAACAGTATTATTTGATAATTGGAAATTTTCTTCATCTTGATTTCACACTTAAATGTTTCAGATTAGACATTCTCTCTGACGGACATTCTTCAGAGAAAAATTCAATCATCTACAATCTAATAGCTTTTCTAGATCTATGAAAGATCCAAGTACATACATGTGTAAGACCAATAGGCTACCGCTACGCCATGGCAAGAATCGTTCATTACCTGTGACATGAACTCATAGGCGACCGTCTCGTGGTTCTCAAAGCCGATCTCCCCGGCAGCGAGGGCGCCCTGTAGGAACAGTCGTAGAGGAAGCTCCGCTAGCTCGGCCTTGATCAGCGCTGTGATGGTCTGATGGCAGAACGTGAAGATCTTCTGACATTTCTTCTCCCATTTATCATCCTGATGGAGGGAAGAAAAGAAAGAAGAGAAAACACTTGAGATTACTGGAGGTTGACGAGAGTCCAATACATACGGTAAAATGTATCGAACAGTAAACAAATAGGCCTGAATTCACAAATGAGGTTTGAATTTAACCCATGGTTTAAATATTCATTTACATAACCCATGGTCTAAAATTAGCTCAAAATATGTGGGCACAGTCAGAGGTTCAATATTAGACACGCTCGAGGCACGGTTTGCTAATTTTGCGCTAATTTTTAAACCATGGGTTATGTAAATGAAGGTTTAAACCGTGGGTTAAGTTAAACCTCCTGTGTGAATTCAGGCCATAAGATTTACAATTACAAAAACATCAGTACAACTTACAATCATTTATTCATACAGTGAGTAATGCTAGGAGTCTACTGGTCCGGCGCCAGTTGGTGCCAGTTTGCGCCAAAGATTATGTGATTGGCGCGTAGTGGCTCGCTGTGGCGCCGAATTAATGTCCGCTCGGCATGTGTCGCCAAGTGGGATAAACTGGGTGCCATATGGCGTGCGCCAAATGCCACCCGGCTTGCTCCAAAATGTTGCGCCAGTTTGCGCCAGCTCGCGCCATTACACGGCCATTTGATTCCAAAATTCACCCTGTTGGCGCCATTCGCGCCAACAGATGGCTACTTTGCGCCACTTGGTGATTAGTTTGTGCCAAAGGTCGCCAAATTGGTTTGAACTTGCCGCCGCTTGGCGCTACTTGCCGACTATATAAATACCGGCCATCGGCTACCTGGTTCAGACCCTCCTCAGCTGCTGTATGAACAACATCTCTACTAAATATTTACAATTTTGATATGTCTGAGGCTTTTGATAATGTTGGAGTGATGATGCTGCTCCATCAGAAGATGATGAGAGATGCTGAGGTGTCCACTGCCTATCAACTTATGCTGGCCAATCCTGAAGAAGAAGAGCCTCCTAAGAAGAAAAGGAAGCAACTTATGCTGGCCAATCCTGAAGAAGAAGAGCCTCCTAAGAAGAAAAGGAAGCACAACTGGTGGTTTAGACCCATGCTCCACCCACAGTTGAGGGCCGAACGTGGACAGTACCACACTTTGATCGAAGAGTTGAGGGAGAATGACAGGAGGAAGTTCAAGAACTACACCAGGGTGTCCCCAGAGATGTTTGATGACCTGTTGGTCAGGCTTACACCCCACTTGCAGAAGAAGGACACCCACTTCGGGAAGGCCATTCCCCCTGGTCTCAAGTACGTTGTTCGTCTTCCTGCGCCATCTGGCCACTGGGGCCACCTATGCCGAGCTGTCTTACAACTTCCGAGTGGGCAAGGAAACCATCCAGAAGTTTGTTCCTGATGTAGCCAGAGCGATAGTGGATGAGTATGCTGCAGAAGTCATCTCCCTCCCCACAACCAATGAAGGCTGGCTTGAGGTTGCAGGTGATTTTGAAGCCAGATGGAATCTTCCTCACTGTCTGGGAGCCTATAATGGAAAGCACATCCATCTCCAGAAGCCCAACAAATCAGGCAGCCTTTACTTCAACTACAAGCAGTTCTTCTCGGTTGTCCTGATGGCTCTGGTAGATTCAAAGTACCAGTTCATGTGGATCGATGTGGGTGGGGTTGGCCATCAGTCTGATGCCCAGATCTACAACAACAGTGAACTGAAGGAGTGCATTGAAGCTGGCACTTTAGGCATCCCAGATCCAGCTCCTCTTCCCCATGATGATGAAGAGCACCCTATGCCGTACTTCTTCGTGGGAGACGATGCCTTCGCCATGAGGACGGACATGATGAAGCCCTATGGCCGTCGTAACATGGTCCAAAAGCAGAAGATCTTCAACTACAGGCTGTCCAGGGCAAGGCATGTGGTTGAAAATGCCTTTGGCATTCTGGCTCTGTGGTTCCAGTGCTTCCTTGGCCAGATGAGACAGGAACCAGACACAGTCCGCCTGCTCGTTTAAGCTGCCGTCATGCTGAACAACCTCATCAGGAAGCGCTATCAGGCACTGGACGTCCGCATGTTGGACCAGGAGGATGCCCAGCACAACCTCATCCTTGGAGCTTGGAGAACTGCCGCCACCACTGTGAGAAAGTCCTGTGAAGCCGCCCTGCTTTTATAGGCGGCAAGTGGCGCCGAATGACGGGCAACCAGGTGGCATTTGGCGTGAAGTAGTCACCAATCGGGTGCCGTTTGGCTCATGTAGTGGCGCAAACAAGGTGCCCCTTGGCTCCAAGTGGCGCCATGTGGCGCGAAATCTCATTGGCGCAACTTGGCGCGCGCCATTACATTCCAGTGGATTCCAATAGGCGGATTGTTTGCGCCAAAGGGCGATATGTTCGCGCCATTTGGTGCCACTTGGCGGACACTTGGCGCTGATTGCTCGATGCAAGTGGCGCGACGAAAATTTTAAACATTTTGAAATTTTCTTGCCGCCACATTCAAATTTGGCGCCATTACGGGCCACCACGAGCCAGTTGGGAGGCAGTTTGAGCCACTACACGCCACTAGGCACCTTATTGGCGACACTAGGCGCCACAGTAAATTGCATTGGCGCAAACTGGCACCAACTGGCGCCGGCCCAGTGGACTCCTAGCATCAGCAAACTGCTGGAATTTGAAGACATTCTCAATTATTGCCGTTCTGATTGATATTTTAGGCTAAACTACTCTGAATATAAACTTGGATGAACAAACAGACATAATTACAAGCAGATGAATACACTGTATACAGAGAGAGAGAGAGTGAGAGAGAGAGAGAGAGAGAGAGATGTACTGGCAGAGCTATAAACTGAAGGTAGGACTGAGTTACAGAGATAATGAGAGATTCATACATAGAAAAAGACATAGACTTAAGAGACATATACAAACATAAAGGAAATGTATACAGACGAACAAATAGACATATTGACAAATATAGAAACAAATGAGTCAAGTCTTCAACTAGTATATTGTCACTAAGAATGAGCAACAGCATGAAAGACAATAAATACCAACTAAAAGAGATAGAGACAAGATAAAGAACAGGGAAAATTACAGACAGACAGACAGACATATAAACAGACAAACAGACAACTCACCTCTTCACCCAGTTCCTTGTATGTAAAAGCTAACCTGAATGCAGAGAATGTTAGGGGTGGTAATGTGTACTTTATCCTCTTGTTCCCTCCTACGCCAAAGTGTTTTCTTGCTGTGTTTAAAATCTAAAATAAAAATTAAAAGAGAGAAGAAGGCAACAAGTAAAGATAAGCTTGAGTTCTGGTAATGAAAATGAATTCTCACAGAATCCCACCAAGCTTACACTGAATGTTCAAGATTTCAAATAAATGACATGTTCCAAATGATTTTGTTAGAAAATGTATAAGGGCTGAGTAATGAGTATAGAAAAATAAGATACTGTAATCAAGGTAAGTAGGCCCAACACCATGTACTGAAACACAGGTCACTATGTGCAAATGAGAGTTATGGTTTTTATTGAAGTGTCTGTGAGATTGGTTTTATTGTACTGGTTCAAACAATCATTCTGCAGCAGGATATACAATCCAGAATGAATTATAGCCATATTCTCTCGAAATACGATGCCCATAAGATTAGCTTCAAGCATGAACAAATTATGTAAGTTTTTTTTTTCCTTAAAAAATTGGCACAAAACACATAAAGCAGTACATTTTTGAATGACAAGTAGTACTTGCACAAATGCTGAAACAAATCAAACCACCCCCCCCCCCTCAACAAAAAAATAATCAAGACAGGAGTAATGAGTCAATATCTTTTCATTTTTATGTTCCCAAATCTAACTGTACAACTGTACATGTTCATTAATTGTACTACATGATCAAACTTTCCCCAATCTCAAAGCTCAGTGAGGTTAAAATGAAATCATTCACATTTTTATAGCTATCCATCCCAGAATTTGAAGAAGAAAAAGAAAATCTCATTTTCTTTTGAAAGTCATGTAGGAATTTGTAATGCCAGACAGATGGAGGAGTACTATCACAATTGATGTCAGAAGGTGAGCGATTACGAGCAAATTTTACGATCCCTGTCATCGCATTTTAAGAGGTTTGGCCGTAAATCTCTTGTGCATCATAAACCCCTAGAATGATGATCCAGAATTGCCATCAAGTATTGCACTGATCTCCATAGGCCTGTCTTCACTATCTCAAGATTGCCAAATATCCAGCTACTGGTATTTGAACTATCCCGATCGCAAGCTATGCAGCTAATTTGCGTCTTCAACAGACCGAAGTAGCAATAAGAAGGATATTTGGTCGGGATTGTCATCCAAAGATATCTTGGGATAGTTTGCAAAATATCCCACTATTTGGCAAAATATCCAGTTATTTGTCCTGTGCGTCTTCACTAGACCGAAGACTCGCATTATGCGCTAACGCTGAGCAAAAGATCTTGAGCTAATTTCTCAAGCTCGAGTTTCAAGTTTCGAGGTCGAATCTCGAGCTAATGAAGACGCGACTTGTAACTTCGGGATTATTTCCCAAATCAGAAATAGCAGGCTATTTGGCAATCTCAAGATGATGAAGACGCGCCTAATGTGTACCCACACATTTTAATAAATCTCACTATTTAGAAGAGATGAACCCAGCCCATATGTTACAATAACCTTTCCAGTATTTTTTTCCTTTATTTTCTTCATATCATGCTCTTGTTATTCCAATGCATTTATCAAGTACATAGTAGTACACAAAATCACAATTTTCTACCACCTTACAACAGTCTGTATATTTTTCTCTTCTTTCCTTTATTCTACATGTATGTTTAATAGCCAGAATTGCAGTTTCTGTTGAAACTTTGCTTCAATTGAATGTCAATTCAATTAATTACCAAGGTGATTCTTTCGCTCCACTGTAGATAACTTCACGTTTGGCTCCTCCCTCTACCTCCCTCCTCCCCCTACTCTCTCTCTCTCTCCCTTTTCCCTCCCTCCTTCCCTCCCTCCTCCCTGCCTCCCATCCATACTGCTTTTCTTTCTTGCCATCTTTGCAGTCAATATAGCTACATGCTTCATTTATATATTATCCAAAATACATGCAATGTATCCTTATAGAAAATGGAAACAAACTCACATACACTCACATCCATAGACGTATTCCTGCTATTCAAGATGATCATTAGACGCTGAAAGCATTGAAAAATAATGAATTCTTACCAGATATTGCTGGTCTGCATCTTCTGCTTGTAACAGATTGATGAACCTTCCCATCAGGCCTTGCTCTTCGGCAAAATCTTCAGGGTCTTCCTATATTTCAAAAAGAAAAAAGCGAAGCAAAAATTAAAAGCAAGGGTACATGTAGGTCGCATGGTCGGTGGCGTAGCCAGGACTTTTTCATTGGGGGCATTAAGGGGGGGACCCCTTTTGTGGGGGCAAATAAAAAAATTGGTGTGGAATACATTAAATCCCCAGCTTACATTCAGTATTTTGCATTTAAAAAAACAATGTATTAAAATTAGACCGTTTAATGCATGACAGAGCATATACATGTACAGTGTATAAAAGAATCATATTTTACAAAAGAGATGTATCCCCCCCCCCCCCACCACTTGAGTGACTTGACTATGCCGTTTCAAATGGTCAATTGCCTTCCTAAATATGTCACTTTTGAGAAAATTAAATACAAGATAGGAGAGGGGGGCTACTAAGTACTAACTGCAAATGTTGATCTCTATGCCTACATCAATAATGTACTCAACAGTCAACCCATCATCTAACTTGTAAGTGCCCCCCCCCCCCTACATAACATGATTCATGAAAATATCCTCTCAACCAACTTGAGCATATCATTGGCATGTCCCTTCTGAATAGAAATATTGTGAAGCAAATGATACCGTAAGTATGCCAATTTTTTAAAATTTAAAGAAGCATTGATTTTTTTTTCTACCTTTTCCCACCACATAATTTCAATAAAAAATTACCAACAATCCTGTTTTTTTAATTATATAGCTCGAGGTTGCACATAACAAGAATTACTCATAAATTCAGGAACATAAAAATAATAAACATGTATCATGTTCCATAACATAATGCATGTAAAGGATAATTTCTGATCAAAATTTCACCCCTTTTGTACAAAATGTTAGCCCAAGATAAATCAGGATGAAAACCACAATGAAACTAGATGGAACTTCGACTGCGCGCAGTCGAAAATGATGCCTCCGTCATAGAGCAATTTTACAAACCAAAACAGAAGAAATTTTTCAAATTCAAGTTCAATTGTAATCCATTAAGAGGTTCTCAGAATATCGTGATTACAAGCAATTTCTCATATACATATATGACCCTTTGATCTTTGACCTGATGACCCTAAAATCTACTCAGTTCATTGGCTCTGCAAGATGTCCTGAGTTAAATAGTAATCCATCTGTCAGTTCTAATGAGAATGCGTTCACAAGTTATTTTTGGATACATAATGAGCCCATGACCTTTGACCTCATGACCCATGAATCTACTCAGTTCATTGGCTCTGCAAGATACATACATGATCAAAATTTGGCAGGAATCCATCAATCTGTTCTAATGAGAATGCGATCACAAGCTATTTTTGCATACATAATGAGCCCTGTGACCTTTGACCTTTGACCTCGTGACCCCAAAATCTATTCAGTTCATCGGCTCTGCAAGATACATACATGACCAAAGTTTGGCAGGAATCCATCAATCGGTTCTTCAGATAACGCGATCACGAGCTGTTTTTGCATACCTAATGAGCCCTGTGACCTGTGACCTTTGACCTTGTGACCCCAAAATCTAATCAGTTCATCGGCTCTGCAAGATACATACAAGACCAAAGTTTGGCAGGAATCCATCAATCGGTTCTTCAGATAACGCGATCACGAGCTGTTTTTGCATACATAATGAGCCCTGTGACCTTTGACCTTTGACCTCGTGACCCCAAAATCTAATCAGTTCATCGGCTCTGCAAGTAACATACATGACCAAAGTTTGGCAGGAATCCATCAATCGGTTCTTGAGATAACGCGATCACGAGAACGGGACGTACGGACGGACGGACGGACGTACGGACGTACGGACGGACGGACGGACGGACAACCCGAAAACATAATGCCTCCGGCTACTTCGTAACGGAGGCATAAAAAGCAACATACACATACACCAGTAGCCTACGTACACATGTAAGGAGATCTTGCAATTTCAATGGGAATAGATTGAAAATAAACCCAAGAAATTTTGTTTCATAAATGACTTCAAACTTGGCCAATAGTTTTCCAAAGTAAAGCAAGGAGACCCAGAGACCCTCTGTCAGGTTTACTCTGTACAAAGTTCATAGAAAGGAAATATTCTTTGTCTAATCAACTAGACCCTTTGACCAGAATGAGTGAATTTTGTAAAATTCTAAAATTAGTGAGAAGTTTCCTTGGTTTTGGATAAATGGTATTGCCACTAACGAGCATCTAAAGAAAATCTAGATGAGTGATATATCACTTGATCATATCATAAGGCTCGATACTAGCAGTGGGCCAGTGGCATTTGGCCACTAAAATACATCTACACAGTAACACTGTCAGACAACCAATACAATATTTGATTTTTCAAAAATATTATTTAAACAAAATAAAAAAATGGATGCCTGTTTCGGGCAACATTAAAATGTTTTTGTTATTACATATATGTTCATGTAATACATTTCAGTGAAAATCTCACATGATTTATAACTAGGTAATACAAAGATGGTACATGACAACATGTACAATTGTATATACCAAAACTTGAATCTTTAATACAAAATTAGAAACAATTGTACTTGTTGAGAAATCATCACATTTTTGTCATGAATGTGAGCCACGAAAAAACGAATAAAACAGATACACACACATACAACTAAAATCTTGATTCTGTGTCAAGGCCTTGCTAAAATTAATGCTATGATCAACATGGTTGTACAACTTGTAGTTGTAGTACTGTACTTGAAGGTTTAGTTTGTGTATTAAGGTCTACAATGTGAGACTAGTGTGTACTGGGTGAGAGTTCAGCTCACTGCAGGGTTAAGGGTTCCTATGGGGATTACAGGATGTGATTGGGAAAACAGGTGGCACTGACTGACAGTCATGCTAACAGGAGAGAAAGGATCACCAGTCTCTGACTGGGATTCAAGAGGTCAAACAAGGTCACTGAGGGGTGCAACTCCTAGCTTTTCCAACAGTGCTTTATCAATCTCTAGTGAAATCCTTGGTAGCCGACTCAGAAAACAGAATTAGCTTGGTTTTTAAAAGGCTACATGTAGATTTTTACTTTTTAAAACATTCAAATTGATATGAAATTAGTTGGATTAAAAAAACAGCAGATAGATATCTTTCAGAGGTTTAACTTATCAAAAAATAAAGTCTCATTCTTGAAAAGTTGATAGGGTTCAGTAGGAAACCCAATCTGCCCTATTAATTTTGAGTCATCATTCACTTTGTGGAAACAAACAAGCAAAAAAGAAAATTCTTAGTGCAGCACACCTAATATTGTTTACAAACTCAACAAGATATATCTTGAAACATGGTGGGAAAGATGAGAAAGAATTAGAATTTGTAGTCATTTTTATAAACTTCACATCTCCAATGTTTAATACACCTAAAATGTGCCTTGGCATACTTTATAAGGCTTCAAAATGGACTGATAGTTAATTGCATTCCGCCTTGTTTGCAACATTCAGACAAGACATCAACACTCAATTTATTTCTTGTAGATTTCTCCTCTCTTAGGATCCTGTAATCTACAAGCCTTCCATTGTTACAAATACCAATTATGTGAAATTCACACCCAAGGAATTGTGTGTAATCTACAACCTGTCAATCAAAGATGCCTCAACTGAATGACATACTTCTGTCTTTAAAAAGTTCAATAATGTGTAGAATATTTATTTGTTTTTTTGGGGGGGACAGAAATGTCAGATTCAGCATTATCAATTACCGAATTTAACGCCACTTGTATGCAAATCAATTAAGCAGGGTAACAATCTATTCATTCTTTACCAAGGTAACAGAGGCCTTGTATACAACAACAACAACAATAAAAAGCAGCATTTTAGGGGACTGACAACATGACAGAGCAGTTTTACACATTAATAGTGCACACACTTCCTTACGGTATGTTCGGCATACAGTCACTTCATTGTCTATGCTGAACACCATACATGTGCATATTCTGAACAACACTATGATTCATCTATGGTCTATGGATAAGTTTGAAAATTATGAGTTATGAATGTTGATAGAATTTATTTGCAATAATTGTCTGTATATTTTTGGTCCTCTGCACAAAGATGGAGAATTCTTGAATAAACCAAAATGAACAAATGTTCAGTTTTGGAGAATTTGTTACAAATGGAGTTTCCCAATTGTTCCCACACACAAAATGACTAACGATGTGTATGAATCGGGGTGGGTCCTTTTTTTTTAACATACTCTCCATAAAATAATTTGAGTAGTGTCCAAAGGAAGAGGTCACTTGGAGAAGAAAAAAAAAAAAAAAATTAAATTGCCAATTTGCCACTCTCATAGCTGTACTGATCCCATATTTCAAACATTTCTTTTTCTTATTATTTGACTGATTTATTTCAAACTTTCGCCATTCTGTTTCGCTGGATTTTCGGCTTTCATACAGTTGAACTTAAAAAAAGGTTAGATTGCCTTTTAGGATTCCAGATTCCAAAATATTATTCCTAGCTTTTAGCAATGCATAATATAGAAACGGTTATATTAGCATGGCCAGAGACACTTTTTTTTCTCCACAGGGGGGTTAGGACTGAACTTTCAAAGATTTATATACGCATGTGCCCCCTGTTTAAATTTCAATGTTTTTAAATTTGGGATCCATGTGCAAGTGGCCCCTCTAAGTGTCAAGCCCTGGTGTAGGACCGATGCTTTTTTTCTTCAGCAAAGGGTTGTAACACACACTCATTCACACTCCGAGCTGTACACTCTAGCACTCACCTCTTCTGGTTGATCGGGCTGATCCTTCACCAAGGGCGCCACCAATGTCAGGATCTGGTCAACCTGCTCCTGGCTCGGCACGGGAAGATTGTTATCGATGGCGTTGTTGACGATGTACGCGCTGATGGTCTTGCGGCCCTCGTAGTCCAGGTACTCCACCACGTGGACGAAGTGTTCCAGCTTGAGCAAGGTCAGGATGTTGTTGTAGGAGTCGACAGGTATCTTCAGCAATCGCTGCAGCTCCTTGGCAACAGCAGTGTTGTTCTTCAGACTGAATAAAAGGATGAAATTGAAATATTTTTAATAAATCAGTTCAAAATAAGTCTTTGTAGGTAAATATAATTCAACCTGAAATGTGACACTTTAAAAATTGATAAGCAATGCATCTTTAAAGTAAACGTCGAGATTACAAAGTAAGAGTAAAAGAGTGTACTGTCAAACCTTCTTTAGTGACTACCTTTTTTGTTTCCCTTGAAAATTATTTTTGATTGAAACACGTACTAAAGTAATCTGTACATAAAGACCACCTGCCTATAAAGGCCACTTTTCTTGTCTCCCTTGGGTGGTCTTTATAGACAGGTTTCACTGTATTTGGAGTCAATCAAAATTGCTTCCATATCAACTTCAGAAATCTATATGCCTACCGGTATAACTTTAGTGTCATACAAAATCCAATAAACCACCACTGAACAACACTTATTGGGGCATCACAAGTTTCACTCATTGAAACTGTGCCATCAGTATTTATGACATTTCATAGGCTGTCAGAAAAGTACAATATTTTTCTCATCTTCTCATGACTGATCCATCATTCTTTCTCTCTTTTTGGTTTTTATGTTGCTTGTTCAAAATTTCTTTTTTTGGGGGGTGCAAATTTGGCTTGCACACATCCTCCTTTCATAACAGTATAGCAACAACCCTGACAAAAAATCTACATCAGTCATACTTACAGTTCCAACTTGAGTTTCTCAAAGATGGACGCAGTTGTCTCCAGAACCTTGTCAATGTAATCCACTCTGTCCTGGTAGCACTTGAGAGCCAGGTTGATCAGGGACACCTGGAGGGCCACGATGTCTTCAGTAGGCATGTCACTTCGAGCCTGTCAAAAAGAATGAGAGATAGTGGTCTTAAAAAGGTCATCTTTTTCAACAAAATTGAGATGTACAAAACCACCACTATTCATGGTCCACAGAGAATTTAACTATTATGTATTCAGTTAGCATTTCACCTTAACCCTATTTAGCCCGGGGGGGGGGGGGGGGGGGGGCTTCAGAAGCCCCCCCCCCTCGACATTTTTCGCGATAATTTTTTAACGCAAGAAAATCTTGCAATGAAATTTTGTGACTTTTTTCTTTCGAGTCTTGTGCATCTTTTGAAAGAAATTTTTCGAAAATCGGACCTACCATTACAAAGTCACGTGTCCTTTTGTCTTCGCATGTCAGCCCGAAAATCGCTCATTTTTGTGATTTGTGTACAAAGCATATGGAAATCTCATTTTTCAAATAAAGAGATAAATCATTGGTTATTTGGTCTTGTTTATAGTTAAGGTGTTTATTTTGGGGTCAAAATAGTTGAATTATAGTTGGAAATGAAATAAAACAACAAAAACAATAAAATACATAAGAAATTATCAAAACAATAGATAACATAAGGAATAACCCTGATTTTTCAATTTTTTGTGTTGTATTATTATTCCAAATGGTCTAAAAAATACATGTAGTGAGAAAGAATGCTTAAATATGAATAATGTCTGATTTATGGGCAAAAATGTGAATTTTATGACCTTATTTGCATAAATTACCATAAATATGCAAATGAGTGAATTTTTCAAAAAATTGAAATTACCATTGTATTCTATACACTTCACTTGACATGTATGCAAATTTTCGCGGCGATCAGGCATTTCACGGCCGAGATACCCCCCCCGGGCTATGCAGTTTCAAAATAGCCCGGGCTAAATAGGGTTAACCCTGATAATAATGATGCCCCTCCCCACTCGCAATTTTTTGTGGTTACTTTCAGAGTTTTTGATGATCTTACCCAATGCCTTCATTACTTTTTTCTTTAAGGTCTTGGACATGTCTTGATACTAAATTTGCGTATACACCTTCAGCGGTTATGATGTAAAGGTCATATACATGGGGTCTCCGTTTATATTTTTTTCCCCTTTTTTCTTGCACCTTCTATGTTTTAAACAATTAAAACCTGAACTGAAATTGAAATGAAATTATCTAAGTATAACAAACCACTAAATAATAGAAAACATACAGAATTAAACAATAATTAACAAAAGAAATACATAGGATTATTAGGTAACTAATTAGTGGCTTTTTTCAACCAATTTTAATACAAACAGATACCTGCTAAACATCATCCTTTTACATATTTCACATATTGGAGAACAAAAAATCTGGGGAAAAAAATAGCAATCATATCTCAATAACTTACTAAAACAGATTTTTTTAGATAAGGTAATCTTTATAAGATTAACAACAAACTCTTGAACATTCAATATTTCACCGAGTGCAAGCCACATTTGGTAACAATCGGACAAACATAGCCAAGATCACCCCCCCCCCCCCCACTGGCTTGCGCATCTTACTTTTACTTCCCAATAATAGGTAAAATTGATACCAGCAAAACTGTCTTTTGTGCATATAAACAGACAAATTTGAATTATAGGGCGGGAAATGAAAAGTGATACCTACCTCAATGATTCCTGCAATTTGAAGAGAGAAGATATCAAAGAGCTTGAGGTCTGCTGGGATACCGGCAGTATCATCACGGCAAGCAAACAACGCTAACCTGAGAGAGAGAATACAAGCAGGGATCAAAGAAGGAATTAGTATCTAGATTGTGCCTACCGGTATATATCTATTGTTGTAATGTCGGCACAATTTGATTTTAGAGTGCTTGAGGTCCCTCTAAAGTGTTGGGAGCCCAAAATGCGCTAACAAATCTGATGACAAAATTTCATTTAGATTGTGTAATGATGTGAAAGTGGATGTCATTTTAATAATTAACACTCAACTCTGCAAGGATCTTTTGTTTAATATGTTTGAAGACGAATATTGATGAAAGAATACAAAATTTGGGTTTTGTGTTGTATGCAGAAAAAGTCAATTTTGTATTCTTTCATCGATTTTCGACTTCAAACACATTTGTTTTGAAAATCCTTGCAGAAATGTGTCTATGACATCCACTTTCACATTACGATACAATTTAAGTGAAATTTTGCCATCAAATTGTTGGGACTCCCAACCCCTTAGAGGGGCTTTAAAGGTAATGTGCACTTGTCATTGAAGACATGAAATGACACTGTCCGAGTGGTAGTGGCCATATCCGTTCATAAAGGAAAGCAGACATGTCATAAAACTCATAAAAACACTGTTCCAAAATTAAACATCAAGTTGATCAATAACAGGTATTTGAAGGTATCATAATCCTTTCTCTAGAAACTATGTGTAAATATATAGGGCTTATCTGTAAAAGTTTATAGCACTATTTTTATTAATCATCATTAATGAATTTTTTCCCTCTTCATAGTACATGTTCTACAGGTAAACTTGCATCAATAATAAAGAGTAAACCCTAACTGATTTGCAACAAGCATTTTCAAGGCCAAATACAAGAAACAAATGGAGAAACGTTTGTTTGCCCCTGCTGCTCCTGTGACATTCATTCAAACTCTGAAATATCCGAAGAAGAGCAAGGAAAAAAATACATGGGGGCTCAGGGTAAATTAGCCCCCGAAATGACCAAAAGAGCCCCAGACAGTCATAAAAGAGCCCCCCAAATTTTGCAGAGTTCAATGCAAAACAAATTTAAGAGTGTTATTTTCATGCAAGCAAGCTTGAAAAGTAGCCCCCCAAATTTTTTGAATAATTTTTTCCCTGATTTAAAAGAGAGGATACCTGTCAATCATGGCGATGATGATGTTCTTGACATTGACGGCCGTGTTGAGGTCAGCACAGGCCTTGAGGAATATACTCAGGGTCTGAAGATGAAACTCGTCGGGAAATACCTGCAAGTAGAGCCACAAAATGGGGAAAAAAGGTTCAGAATAAAGACAAAACTTGTCATCAGTGACAAATGACGGTTTTTGTTATGAGCTACTAAAATCCTTGCTTCTGATTGGTTATCAGTAGATTTGTCAGTGATTTTTGTCATTTGGCATTTAAAAAAGGCTTTGTGAAAATGGTACAGGCACAGTGGATGGTTGTAGGCTAACATGAAGAAAATTTGATCTCAAGTTGTGAAAACACTCTTGTGAAAGAAAGAAATCATGAAATAACTCAAACACATTTGAAGACTTGCATAATGAGTATCCCTTAACCGACTTGACTATTCAACTATTTAAATATCAAAAAGATGGATACTAACCTGTATGATGCATTCCATTAGATATTCCTGTGCAATGGTGTCTCTACAGCTTACAACCTGCTCTACCACCTCTGGCAAGATGTCCTGAATAAAAGAGAGAAAAGAAATTTGAAGGTGCATTCCACATTAGTCACAAAGGATGGATCATATTAAAGGGAGTGAAGCTTGGCAAATACTGGTTAACGCCATCTACGTCTTCTTTTGGACAAATGCACGTAAAGGAATGGACTTGATTAACGGTAGTCAGCAACTTAATCTCTACATGGTCAGCGTTCGCAAAACAGACCAAAGTTCTCCTCATGCTTCGGTTTCGCGTTTCCACGAAAAAGACACACTCCCTTTAAACTACACTGCAGACACTGACTTCAAATATTTTGGAAGAACTTGCATGTAAGGTGGAAGGTTGAAGATGCAAATGTTCCGGATTGAGGTCAGAAATCATGCAACCTATTGATTGCTTTATAAACAGGATGAACCATCATTGTTAATAAAGTAACATATGATAGAGACCTTATCTATAAGTTACAGTGAAACCTGTGTATAGAGACCACTCTTGGGAGACTAGAAAAGGTTGTCTGTATGTATAGGTTCCTTTAGTATAGGTTTCAATGAGAAACTATTTTCAAGGGAAACAAAAATGTGGTCTTTATAGACAGGTCCTTAGTGAACTTATCTCTAAGTTGGACTTAATAATTATGGAAAGCCGTTAGCATCTTTGCAAATATTTTGTAAAAGTTATTTTAAAAGGCATAAAGTGTTGATTCACTTCATTCATATTTTCTATTATCAAGGAGATTTCATGTTCTTGCTGTGGAATTTATGAAAAGTCTAGAAAACTTGAATTTTTGCTTTTGAATATATTTCATTTGAAGGCTGCAAATGGCGCTCCATAATGTTGAAGTCCAACTTAGAGTTAAGTTTGACTTAGGATCTTTTTGAAACACCCCCCTGGTCACTAGACCATATCACACATTCCAACTGTGTGGAGGGGGCCCAAAACTCACCTTCTTGTACCTCTCTACGTCCACAGTCTCCAGCTGGCTCAGTCGGACCAGGTTGGTCCCCACCAGGATCCGGAGCTCATTGCGCTCCTTCTCCCTCTTCTCCCAATCCCTCGAGTGGCCCTGATGCTGCATGCGAACCCAAAGCTTGTTCATCTCCGCAAAGTTCAGCAGGATGAAGTCGATGGAGTCTTCGATGTTTCCACCAGCTGTCTCAGGGTTATCGCTAATAAGAAATCAATTCAATTCAAATTTCAATTCAATTCAATTCAAAATCGTTTTATTCTTGAACATCAAATAAAACATCAGATTGTACATTCGTAAATAATTACATACAAAAAGTATACACTTGAAAATAGGAAGCCTCAAGATTATTACATTGTGTGTTCATGTCAGATGTAAGACTGATCATTTCAATTCTCCTTTCAGAAAATACATGTACATGTACTATACAGTCTAAGTCTCTAAGAACATGGGTCAACGAAGCAGTCATCCTTATCGTACACACATTTCGGTCATAACGTTCCTGAACTGACAATATTATTTTTTTCATTTTCTTTCAGGTATCCATATATTTAAGAAAATATAAGTAGATTGTGACTTTAACTTGTATGAAATTGCATGTACACAACCATATAATATGTTTTCACCAAAGGTGTAAATGTTTTCATTCAAACTCAGTCACCAATAAACATCACATACATGTACATGTACTTGAAATCATTTTATTGAAGGAGTGTACATGCCAACCCTACAATCTTTTAAATCTTTTCCAATACATTTATACATGTAACATGGAGTTTTTACTTTGTTAATCCTTCCTTAACCTCTAAAAGCACCTTTAGTAGAGCATTAAAATCATATAAGGTATCGAGTGCTATACAACTGTAGGAGCAAAAGAAAAGGATTCTGCACAGTTACATTGTGCATGCACTATGATTGGGGATTCCCCAGTTTACACTGTAATGAATGAAGTTCACTCAGTCTGAAACAATTAAAAACAGTGACGCGTTGTTTCTTCCAGAGCATAAATAGTTCAAATTGATTAGAAATTACTCGTCTGGGATCTTTGTTCTATTCAAGTTAATGCTCAGTTTATATTGCAGGGATGCCAATTACAACTGATCGGAGGGCCTGAAAATCACATAGAATGAGCTATTTTGTACACACAAAAACGAAACTATGGTCTGAAAATAACTCGCCAGGGCCTGAATTCATGCTATTGCCTGGAAACTGGCATTGTGGCATGCGCCTGTAATCCAGCTACTGCTTCAGCTGAGAACGCAGGTTTGAAACTGAGTCACGTCCTTCGGATGGTGACGTTTAAAGGTCGGTCCCCAGACGTAAATAATCATATCTGATTGATACATGTCTGTAAAAACCCCAATACACAAACACACACACCACGCATCCATGTTATTGGTTTCCACTCATATTTGGGAGAGGCTTACTCACCTTTCATCCTGTTCAGTGTCCGGGAGGTAGTTCCTGGTGCACTGCAGAAGATAATTCCTCAAGAACAGTCCTCTGAGGGGATGCTGAACACCCCTGCACATCTCCACCAGGTCCTTCATGATGTCCTTCCTGGAGCTCTGGTGTGCCTTGATGTAGACGATACCCACTGTGATCAACAGGTATCTGAAGCACGAGTTTACATGTAAATTATCAAGTTTTTTTCTTGTCCAACTTGTTTAAAGATAAAGTTGAGTTCTGGTCATGCAATTGCATTGTGAAAGAAACGTTGTGGAATCGATCAGAAAAGGTTGATCATCTAGCATATAAGTATTGGCGTGTACTGCATGGTTCTGGAATCATCAAACTGATATCATCAAACTGATAAGAAATTTGGCCCAGTCTTGGTAAAGTTACAAGCACTGTACACAGAAAGATGTATATGGGGCTACACGAACATGTGGCATAAAAATCTGTCCCACTTTCTATGTTGTTACATGCCATATTTAGAATATGAAAGTATTTGAAGAGCCATGCTTTTCAGGGAACATCTTTTATCTGATGTTCTTCCACACTTACATAAAAACAATGATAACGCTCACAAATTATTTCCACCTCTTCCCAGAACTCAACCTTGTCTTTAAATGATGAGAATATCTTGGAAAGATGAAAACTCAACAGAGAAATACTGCATACCGTATGGCTGGGCCTTAACTAAATATTCTGATAGGAATAGTTATGAAAAGAAAGGCTACATAATTTGGCCACATTAATATACATCAAAGTAAAAGATACCAGACAAAGTGGGAGACCAAGAACTAACTGGGAGGGGAACATTAAGACATGGAGTGGAATATACTTGGATGGCAGAGATTAATGATGAGAGGAAAAAAATGTTGCAATCAACAATCTGAGCTGGGAGAAGATTCCATGCTAGATAGAACTTGTTTATAGTGCAGCCTGAAACTGATCTTGCAAAGAGGCCATTACAGTGGTAGCTTGCAGAAGAAAATTTCTCATCCTTAATCCTTACTGACAGCACTTGTTCTGTTTTTTTTGTTTTTTTGTGGAGGGGGGGGGGGGGGGGGGACATAAGTTTTATATTGAAGATGAAAAAACTATTTTTACAAACTTGCAATTTCTTGAGGAAAGTGTAAATCTTTAATCACAGCAAAAAAAATTACCATTCCAATATGAATAAAAATAAGACTCAATTCGCTTACTACAAGTTATTACCTATCAGGAAGTTATTATCACTATATATTCTAGCCATAATATTCAGCAGTGATGTAAAATCAACAGAATACATGTACATACCACATTTATATGATATGCTGGTGCCAATTTAAACATCTGTTTAATTTTTTGCACGAAGATCTACTAGAAATTGCTGTTGCCAATTCAAATATCAGTTTATCTTTTGTAAAAATAAAGTCCATATTATGCTTACAGTCTAGGGACGATGTTTCCTGCATATTGGACCAGCTCATAAAGGTCAGCGATCTTGTGACCTTTCTGGTACTCATCTAGAAGGTACTGCTCCAGATGGCGTAACTCATCACACACACTCATGTCTGCAAGGTTCAGGGTCGTTAAGGAATAGACCAGTTCACGGTTAGCACATCTCTGCAATGACCCCGAATATCCACAGATCTTCACAACATACAATACTTCCACTTGTGTATCATGGAATGCACTGCTTGTGCATGAATGAATAATGATTACATAACTTTCATGAGCACGTATCCAGTATTTCGTCTCTGTGTATTTCACAATTTGTTCTGCAATGACCTTTTAATTCTGCTCATGCTCAGACTGCAACCATGAACTGGCTTATACAAATACGATGTCATTGTCAAGAATCGTACACACCTGTAGCTCAAGCTTTCAAAAACAAACACAGGAAATGTTGGCATTTGATCTACAGGTTCTGACGTGTATACAGAAGGACATTGGGTAATCAATTTATCACTAGGTTTGTTACATTTTTATAATGTTTGCTAAAAGAACAGGATAGCAAAGATCAATTTAAGTCATAGAGACCCCACCCATGTAGGCTAGATCTTCATCATGATACTATGGGGTCCTTTAAAGGGGTGAGACACATTACATGTATATAACAATTCATTTTAACATGAAAGCATCCATAGCTAAAACATTTCTTTTAAATGTATTGTAAGTGAAGTATCCCTCTTTTTTTGTTTTGAATACATGTACATTACATCCTGTGAGAAAAATTCAACAAATAATGCTAGATAAACACAAATATCAATAAAATTGATAAATCCAATAAAATATACATGACAGCTGACAATATCAACTTCATCAATTGATGGGAGATTTGATGAGACTGTGCGGTGAAGGTGATCTGTAATATAGCAACAATTAAAATCATTTTGACTAAACAAAACGAGCGCAATGGTAGAAGGATACAGAGTTCATAGTAGCCTTTAGGGGAGAGCAGTGATGTACGAAGCTCTCCAAGCATGTTGGATGCATTCTTTAAGCCATCCATCAACTTTCCTTTATCCTGCAAATAAAATAAACACACAAATTATTTCAACTTATTTAAACCAACAAGTACAAACTCTCAAGTCAAGCAAAGTGACATGAAGTTTGTTTCGTGTTGACACATTTGAATGCATTACCTTATTACAGAATACCAGAACAAAACCAAAAATAAACATTAGTATTATGAAATATAAAATAAATAAATAAGCAATGAAATCTCACTGTAAACAATAGAAAATTCATAAAGAGCTCCAGTAGACATAAAGAAGTTGTTTTGGGAGGTGTTTTATTCCAAAATGGAGTGTCATTAGTAGGGTAATTTTGTACCAATATGTATCCTTCTTCTTCTTCTGTTAATCTTTAAATGGCTATTCAGCTTATCACGAAGATCGGTATATAGATCACCAGTTGGGTAGGCATGCCTTGTTTACACCCTACTCGTTTTGAGAAGTGTAGCTTATCAACTTGTATACGGTGCGACACTCCAACACACGAGGCCTCCAGTTAACGTTCAGTCGGAGGAAACAGAGTGTTCTCCCCTGAATCCGAGCCTGCACCAATAACAGTGGGGAGGGGGAGCGCTTACACACAACGCACATGAATCAAAGCCACGAACCCCTTACATGGCGAAAGTCACAAGAGCAAGACAACACACCACTCCAGGGGGGCGTTTCACAAAACTTGTCATCAGTGACAAATGACAGTTTTTGTTATAAGCTACTGAAATCCTTGCTTCTGATTGGTTATCAGCAGATTTGTCACTGATTTTTGATATTTGTCATTGAAAAAAGGCTTTGTAAAATGCCCCCCAGAAGAAAGAATGACAGCGCTACTTACAAGAGATCTCTTCATCTGGAAGGCTTGGACCTTGACGACCTGCTGGGCCTCCTCCAGCAACTTTTCCTGGTCCTCCGAAGCTACAGCTTGAGTTGGTGGCTGAGAGATGGGGGAAACAGAAATAAAGGTGAACCAAAGACTTTCGAGGGTACGCCTATACTTCATACTCGTACCCTATACCAACTCTCTTAGCCTGGCCAGACTTGCAGCAGTTCTTGCTAATCGGAACCGCACCAGATTAATTTTTGTCCATCTCATCAATTTTATTGTAAACAGTGAACTTTCACAAAATTGAAAGATACATAGGCCTACATGTTATGAATGCTATGAATTATTCTGCGTTCCTTCTTGGCCTTCATATAATTGAGGAAAATACGGTTTTCAGCAAATTCTTTGAAAGTTTGCCACAGTACGTGATCGAGTCGACTGCAAAACTTTGCTCAAATGAAGGTCTTAAGAATGTCTTTTAAAATATTTATTTTAAGATTAGGTGTTTAATAATCACTTACGAGGACTAATTCTATAAAAAAACACGGCAATAAATTATTTTAATTTTCAACTAAACTTCTCTCGAAGTCTAGCCAAGTTCGACAGTGGATTTATCATTTGATTTATTATTACTATTAGCTTTATTGGTGCAACATTGGTCAACTACTTTGGTACTTGGTAGAGTAAATTTGTTCCATTTATTCAACTCTTTCATTTCAAAACACTGCCATTAACGGATTAACAGCACTAAGCAGCTGCGGGCACACGCCCACAAATTGCACAAAACGCAACGCTCCAATGTCATTCAAGCCCGACATGAAGCCCGTTGGCGTTGCATGCACGAGCTGAGCGGTGCGCTGAGCCAGGCCGCTGCAGGACTCTGCACTTAAAGTTTAAACCGAGTCTTACTGCACGGGCAGTAAACTAAAACCTCAAGTAAATCGCAAGCCTGTGGTATTTTACAAACAAATAATTCAGTGATAAAAGAAGTTAAAGTCTTATCAACACTTAATGAAGTAAAATATTGTGAAATGTTCTTAAATGAGGCTTACCATCGTGATGTTTTAATGGTAATAATTTATCTCCGACAAGTTGTTTCGACACGGACATACACACATTGACCCATGACATAGCGTTCGCGCATGCGCAGATGCGCTTATAAAATAGGCGGAGCCATTGCGAAAATACATGAATTGACAATTTTGATTGGCTATAGTTGTCTAACCTCGTTTGATAGAAGACTCATCATTGGTCTCAGTTCTGGACTCTAATTTTAGGGAAATTCCCGGAAGTGCGAGTGTACCGTTTCTATCACATTATGGACTTCATATCAGAGCTAATTAACTTGGATTAAGATTCTATTCTAATCTGTTTCTTAAAGGTAATACAAAGTTTTGGTATGGGGTCATGAATTTGGTTCAAATGAACATATTGGAAGCATATGCGATTTTACAATATTAGATGATAGTTGTCGCGGTTGAAATCGAGTCCTATGACTGTTGTTGTTGTTGTTGGTAAATGTTTAGTGGCGTTCATTCAGTTATATACGCCATAAATAAGAAAACTGAGAATAAAGATTTGTAATGAAATAATTAATTAATAAGTAACGCAATTTATTCAGAGTCTCTGGATGGTTTTCAACTTCGTGTTTCTGCTTTTTTTTTTTTTTTTTTATAGTTTAATCTGGTCAGCCCGGTTTCGATGCATGAAAACTAGCTTTGCTTTTTTATATTTAAAACAATGTTTCTTGACAACAATCGACCTATTTGCTTTTCCCGTTTGCAAATTATATATCAGAACTGCATTTCATGGTCGCAGCTACCATGGAATGGCCTATTATTGTATTAAAGGCGCTATTTGATATATTTGAAATTTACCGAGAGTACCGGTCAATTTTTGATTATTCAATTTCTCGAAAGCAAAATTGTTTTAGGAGGTAAATTTTCTAGTGCTTATAATTCATCCACAGTGGCATTCAAATCGTAAAAAATAAAAAGAATTACTATCCATCCAATTTTCAAAATTTCCCAAAACTTTGCATTACCTTTAACATAGTTGGTCTAAACTACAATGTGCATAAGTACAGTATTGGTTGATGTGCACTTAGAGAAATCTTTTGAAGATGAGAATGATCTGTGGATGCACATTCATTCATGATAGAGGACTGGGTGCTAATACGCCAAAAGCAAAGATTTTGCCAAGTTATATAGTTATTATTAATATATACCGGTTAATTAAGTCACTATAACTGCAACAATAATATGATTTCTCTCTGACTCCGTGCCCGGTGGGGTCACTCCCCTGCAAAGAGTGACACGTATGACCATTACCACCAATGCATATAATCCCCTTTTGCGGTCAATTTCAAGGACATTTTGTGAAACTTAACCCCCTTTTTTACGTCAAAACAAGGACAAAATCGTACTTTGGAATACCCCTATTTATGAGATTAATTCGTCGTTGATTTTACGAACCGTCATAAACCACTTTTTTCTGTCAAATTTCCGAAATTCAGATTTTTATACATTTTGAAAGCCTGTCCTCCACTCTATCGACTGGCGAAATTTGAGACCATAATTCGGTTTATTTTAAGAATAAGAGCAAATTCAAATTTCACCGAAAACGTCCTATCGCCTCGAGTAATTTTACGAAGTGACCTAAACCTTCGTGACTGTTCGTAAAATCACAGTTGGCGCGCTATGTTTTGTTACGATCCGTCCTATCCAGTGTAAACAAGACCACGGACTCATCGAACTTTACTTACAAGGGAAATCACACTATTTTCAGGAGCTGATCGCCGTGGTAAGCATTTCTCCTCAATGTTCTGTATGTTTTAACAACTATATAATATATTCAACCTAAGCTAAAATCCCGTGATAGGGATAAAATAGGTCCTTGCTTAAAACATATCGTCTGCTATTTATTATGCAGTCCCATTCATATAAATTTCCGTAGGGTTGTATGTTGTTATATTATCATGTTTATGTAGAATCATTTCAGATCTACTAGAGATATGATGACTGTAATTATAGCTGTATTTCGAACGTCAGTGTCATGCTAGAGTTAAATTGTCTTGAATAAATTAAGTTAACAAAGTAAAGATCCGACAAATATCTTTCATTTTGTTGTTACTGTCTGGTGCATGGTGTGGACGTCATTGTTTTTTGTTTTTGTAGACCTCTAGATCTAGAATCTAAAAGTAAGACCTACTTTTTCTTTTGTTAATAGATCTATTATCAATGGCAATGGTAACAAGGTTGTCTCATACTAGACTCTAGTTCACAACTGAGTGAAAAGATTTAACAAGAGAAAGCGTAATAAAACGGTAATAGATGTGTATAGACTCTAGACCCTACCTGTTAATAGTAGCTCTAGACTAGATTCTAGACCTAGAATCTAGTCTACTAAATAAAGTTTTTTGTAGTCTAGACTAGTACTACTAGGATCTAGGCCTATATTCTAGTATATATCTAGACCTCTACATGAACTCCATACATGAAGCTATTGAGTTAGATTTGCATGTCTATACTAGTCTAGATCCTCAAATGTGTTGATGTGATGGCTATGGCCTAGATATGTACATTAAATCTGATATAGACCTCTAGATCTAGATCTATTTTTATATCTAGGAAAGCTTGCTCACCAAAATTATTTTTGGATAGATCTACATGAGTGTTAGAAAATAGGAAGCATTGTGAAGTTCATCTAGTAGAGGCAAGATTCCTACTTTTAGGCCCAAACTTACAAAGGAGGTTTAAATTTAATCTATAGTTTAAATCTTCATTTACATGACCCATGGTCTAAAATTAACGCAAAATAAGCGTGACACAGTCCAAGGTCTAATATTAGACCTGTGCTAGGCAAGGTACGCTTAAGTGGCACTAATTCGAAACCAATTAAGGGTTATGTAAATGAGGGTTTAAACCATGGGTTAAAAATAAACCGCCTTTCTGTCTAACTCTTTACATTTTTTTGTTTGGTTTTTATTCTAGGAACAAATCCTTGCATGGATGAGATTGATGTGGTGGTCCAGTGGGACCGCGACAAGTCCAAAAACACAGTGGCCTTGAACGACCTGGTGCTGAGGAAGAATGCTTCCCTGAAAATTGGAGCTACTGTAAAGATGAAATGGAGAAAGGGGTGGTGGAAAGGGAGGGTGGAGCAAATCATCTCTAACCGTGAAGAGGAGCCGATGGACATTGAGGGGGAAGGCATGACCGAAGAAGATGATAGTGAGGAAGATGAAGAGGATGATGATGAAAATGTACCATTGGCATCATATGGTAAGTAAATCAAATTACAGACCATTTATATTTAGATGAACATGTGATAGCATTCTAAAATCCACATTAAGACTTGTCAGTCTATGATGGATGTTTATTTTTAATATAATAAAAAGGACTAGTGAACTCAGCCTGTACTTTACGGGGTTGTCAGTATTGTTGAGATGTACAGTATAGTAGTGATGTATTTACTGCCTTCAAATAGTTCAGCTTTATTTTTATTGGGGGGGGGGGGGGGGCTGTACGCTCTCTTTAACAAGTTTTATATGCAATCGAACAGAATATGCTGCATCCCTCAACAAGTTAAAAATACAAATTTTGTTTTTGTTTACTATATATAATACAATAAACCTTTTTTCTTCTTCATTCAAGCCATATGGCCCAGATAAAGACTATTTGGAATGTTTGTTCACATTTGTTTTCATTTTCTTTAATATCACAGTGAAACGCATCTGCTCCATTCCACAAATCGAAGGTATGAACTGATTCTATGCATTTTTATATCTTTGTGTTTTCTTAATTCGTCAAGGAGATCACTATAACATTGAACTTATCTGGCAATTTAAATTGTGGGATAATTCAAGCTATGGCTTAAATTAATCCAAGGTCATGGCCGTGGATGCCCTTTTGATTGGCCTCAATGCCCCTCCCATTGTCCTTGGAGATTTTTTGTGCCCTTTCCAATTCTTCCTATTTGTGCTGTTATATAGGAATGTGCCCTACAGAAAAGTGGCCTTGCCCTAAAAATATTGATATTTAAGGCATTATATAACCTGTATAACAAATGTGAGTTAGGTACAGCAAGGAACATGGTTTAATTCAGTTTATAAAGTTTTCCTTGTATTAAGTTGTACATTGAAATAATATTTTCTATATATGATTTATACTACTATACCTCGTGGTCATTTCATTTACCAGGTTTGAAAGTAACCTCTTGAAAATTGGGGCAAAACTGTGTACTAGTTACTCATTATCTCTGCATTTTAACATATTATTTGGCCTCAGAAATGGAAGTCTTCACAGAGTTAAGTGCAGGAGGTCAAGGCTATGCAGTCCAACAAGAACAGCCTCGTACTGTAGTCCAGAGTCACCTTGCAGAAGAGCTAATGGATACTGAGGTGGAAGAGATTACTGAAGAGGAAGATAGTGAGGATGATGATGAAAATGTACCATTGGCATCATATCGTAAGCAAACCAGACCATTTTATTAGATGAACATGTGATAGCATTCTAAAAAACACATTAAGCCTTGTCAGTCTATGATGGATGTTTATTTTAACATAATAAAGAGGACTAGTGAACTCAACCTGTACTTTACAGGGGTGTCAATATTGTTGAGATGTATATAGTGATGTATTTACTTCCTCCAAAAGGTTAAGCTCTGTTTCTACAAATGGAATCTGTCCTTTAGAACTAACACCTGACAACACCATCTGTGAATAATATTAGAAATCAGCCAAAGTTGTTTTATGTAGCGGTCAGCTTTATAGCAGCATGTAATCTGAAAATGTACCATGTATATCAACATTTGCACTTTTCTTTATTGCCATTATTGTTCATTACTTTCCACACTTTGTGCTCATCTAAATCATGCACACAATTTTGTTCATTTCTGTTTTTCATAATATCAGGAAGGGTAACACTGATCGAAGGCGGAGAAGGCTGTGCCGTCCAGCCAGACCATCCCTTTACAGTAGTCCAGAGTCACCTGGAAAAGAACTCCCTCCTTGAAGAATGTCCCAGGCTCCCCCCAAAATCTGCAACAGTGCAGGAACAAGGTAATTAAAGTAATAGATTTATTGTTGTTAGAAGTATAATAAAGCTATGCGTTTTTGTTCATTACTTTCCACACTTTGTGCTCATCTAAATCATGCACACAATTGTGTTCATTTCTGTTTTTCATCATATCAGGAAGGGTAACACTGATCGAAGGCGGAGAAGGCTGTGCCGTCCAGCCAGACCATCCCTTTACAGTAGTCCAGAGTCACCTGGAAAAGAACTCCCTCCTTGAAGAATGTCCCAGGCTCCCCCCAAAATCTGCAACAGTGCAGGAACAAGGTAATTAAAGTAATAGATCTATTGTTGTTAGAAGTTTGATAAAGCTATACATTTGTTCATTACTTTCCACACTTTGTGCTCATCTAAATCATGCACACAATTTTGTTCATTTCTGTTTTTCATCATATCAGGAAGGGTAACACTGATCGAAGGCGGAGAAGGCTGTGCCGTCCAGCCAGACCATCCCTTTACAGTAGTCCAGAGTCACCTGGAAAAGAACTCCCTCCTTGAAGAATGTCCCAGGCTCCCCCCAAAATCTGCAACAGTGCAGGAACAAGGTAATTAAAGTAATAGATTTATTGTTGTTAGAAGTATAATAAAGCTATGCGTTTTTGTTCATTACTTTCCACACTTTGTGCTCATCTAAATCATGCACACAATTTTGTTCATTTCTATTTTTCAAAATATCAGGAAGGGTAACACTGATCGAAGGCGGAGAAGGCTGTGCCGTCCAGCCAGACCATCCCTTAACAGTAGTCCAGAGTCACCTGGAAAAGAACTCCCTCCTTGAAGAATGTCCCAGGCTCCCCCCAAAATCTGCAACAGTGCAGGAACAAGGTAATTAAAGTAATAGATTTATTGTTGTTAGAAGTATAATAAAGCTATGCGTTTTTGTTCATTACTTTCCACACTTTGTGCTCATCTAAATCATGCACACAATTGTGTTCATTTCTGTTTTTCAAAATATCAGGAAGGGTAACACTGATCGAAGGCGGAGAAGGCTGTGCCGTCCAGCCAGACCATCCCTTTACAGTAGTCCAGAGTCACCTGGAAAAGAACTCCCTCCTTGAAGAATGTCCCAGGCTCCCCCCAAAATCTGCAACAGTGCAGGAACAAGGTAATTAAAGTAATAAATTTATTGTTGTTAGAAGTATAATAAAGCTATGCGTTTTTGTTCATTACTTTCCACACTTGGTGCTCATCTAAATCATGCACACAATTGTGTTCATTTCTGTTTTTCATAATATTACAATATACTTCATTTTTTTTCTCACATTCCTCACTTAAAAGAAAAAAACTGAGAAATTCAAGCATTTAATTTTAACCAACATCAGGCTGTAAAGTGTGTCCTATTTTTTCTTTTTGAACCACAGTTTATCTAATATATAAAGTATTTCTGCATTCTATTTGACAAACAGATATTCATGATCCAGACCAGCCAAGTTGTGAAAGCCTCCTTTGTGAAGGTGAGGTGTTTGCTGCTTGTTTCAGATGCCAAGCTTTACTATGTTTTGAACATTTTGATAATAGTGAAGAATGTGATTGCCATGGTCTGAATACCCAAGATCCATATCTTGAGAATTTCCAAGTTGATGGTTATGATGAAATCCTCGTACAAGAACATGAGAAAAACTGCAATGAAAATGTGCATTTGTCAAAATCTGGATCTGTAAAATCAAAAAATAAGATTGTTAAGGAACTTCGAAACAAAGGTGAGCCCTACCTATCAGAAAAATCAAGAAAAACAATGGCAGGACGTAAAAATCTGCCATTCAAGAAATGTGATAGTTACATGTGCGAGCTAAAAAGACTTGAATGTAACATCATCACTCAAGAAGTCATGAAAAACGTACGAGAGGATTTCTATGGATTGGGTACTCTGACTGGGCAAAGGGAGTACATAGCTAGACACATCAGCACTACTCCTAACAAGAAAGGATTACGTAAGAACTTAACCTATTTCCTGCCAAGTCCTATTAACCCTGGGCATAGATTGCCAGTGTGCCAAAAGACTTTTCTTACTACACTCGGCATAAGTACTCGCCAAGTAAGAACGGTCTTGGCCAAAACCTGCAACAAGACAGGTACAATGGAAAAAGATAGGCGAGGGGGCAAACAAAATCTGGATCCCACACAAAAGGAAAAGATCATTACTCACTTACACAAATTCCCAAGAGTGCCATCTCACTATTGTCGTGCGAATTCAGAATTCACTTATGTTGCTCCAGACCTCACAAAGGCAATAATGTATCAATTATTTGTGAAGGAACATGGAAATTGTGCCTCACGAAGTACGTATGTAAAAGCAATGAAATCAATGAAAATCAAGATCCACAAACCAAAAAAAGACATGTGTGGATTGTGTTCAAATTACACCAATGCTCAGGGTCAGCTGAAGGAAGATCTAAAAGAGGTATACGATGCACATAGGGCAGAGGTAGAGAAGGTCAGGGGTTTGAAGGCACAGAGCAAAGAGAAAGCAATTTCATCTGACCAGTTTGCCAGTGCTGTATTTGACCTTCAACAAGTCATGTACTTGCCAAAGTCCAATAGAAGTGAAATATTCTATAAGAGACGACTTGCTTGTTACAATTTGACTGTATATGATTTTGAAAAAAGAGATGGACTTTGTTACTTGTCTAATGAAACAATAACCAAAAGAGGATCGAATGAAATTGCTTCCTACCTTCTAGACTACCTCAGAGAAGTTGACAAAAAAGGCGTAAAGGAAGTAGACTTCTACAGCGATGGATGTGCTGGTCAAAACAGAAATTCGGTCCTGCCAGCAATGGCTATGGCTTTCATGAAGGAATGTACAAATGTAGCAGTAATCACTTTTCATTACTTTGAGAAATGCCATGGGCAAAGTGAGTGTGATTCAATCCATTCCCATATAGAGCAAAGGCTCTCAAAATCACATGAACTTATGCACCCTGTCCAACTTTCCTCCATCATCAGAGAAGCTAGATCAAACCCAGGTCCTTACAGGGTCAAGTGTGTCAGGACCCAAGACATCTTGTCCTGGCGATCATACTCCCAGCAGCTGGGTATTCTTAGAACGAGGACATCGGATGAGGGTGTTTCTGTAGACTGGACTATGTTCAAACAGGTTCAGCTCAAGAAGGAATGTCCCATGCAAATCTTTTTCAAGACTTCACATTTACAGGATCAGTATAACACACTCTCTATAGGCCAGGGTCGTCGTAGAAACCCTGCACAGTCTCTACAGCTTCCTGGTCAGCTTTATGAGAGTAGACCGAAGCTCTCTCAGGAGAAGTATGGTGACCTCGTCAGTCTGTGCAGGGGATCTACTCCAGTGATAATTCAACCAGAACTTGTTGAATACTACGAAAATCTTCCTCATTGAAGCACTGAATATACATATTAATTTTCCTATATTTGTATTTGTTATAAACAGATTCTCCAGTTACATTTTTCATCAGAAGGAAGGTGATCGAGGCATACTTCTGAAAGAAGCTAAGTAACTTTATTCACATACATGTGTATTAGGTTTTTTCTTTTTAACACGGGCAACAAACTGTGCTGTAGTAACAATTGCAATTATTTTTCCATGCAGATAATGGTCCAGCATCTCTTGTCTGCATTTAATTTAACTAGTAACTGTACCTGACTGATATGTGCAGTCAGTAATTCTTAGTGTACTATTTAGATTGCAATTGCTATCATGGTTTGCAACCGCATGAATGGCTTTTTGAAAGCTTCATTTGTGTAAATCTTACTGTGCCAGTTAACAATTCATTGTGTCATTTCTTAAAGGAATAATAAGATGCATTGCAATTAGGACCTGTACTGCTGTCACAGTGATGGTCATTGAATTCTGGACTGGTTGTATTACCAGTCACAGAATAGATCCAGAGTATATGGCCCTTTTCCCTTTCAACTATAAGCAGGGAAGTATATTCCACTTTCAGTCTTTTGATATACTTTAAAAAAAACGAATCTTTTATAGTTGATAACATATGAATTGATCAGCAGTAAATTTAGATAAATTGGAGACATTTTAACATTTACTTATTAACACAGCTACACCTAGACTTTTACAGGAAAGGTACGTGCTGAATGTCACACTGTGGACTGTATGCTGAACTCGTTTTGATACATTCACATATCAAATCTTTAGAATGCACAATTTTGCTCTGATCTTGGTTACTAGTTGCAGCTATTCTACCAGGAATTTTAAGATGCATTGAGTAGAAACGAGAGGACCTAAAGCCGTCGGTCCCCTGGTTGTTTACTTACTAACAAGCATTTATGCTTTCTTAGCAGTCAGGTAAATTAACAACCAGTAAAAAAAAAAGTTGTATCAATATTAAGCAGGACTTGTGCTGTCACAGTGATGGTCATTAAATTCTGGACTGGTTGTATTACCAGTCACAGAATAGATCCAGAGTACGGCACTTTTCCCCTTAAACTAATTACCTAGAATGCATACTTTTGTTGTTGAGTATGACCATTTATCTACTTTGGTCTTGGAAAACTGCCAAATTAGGGCCAACTGTTACTGTTTTCTAAAACTCATGTTTAGCAGGACTTGTGCTGTCACAGTGATGGTCATTGAATTCTGGACTGGTTGTATTACCAGTCACAGAATAGATCCAGAGTATGGCACTTTTCCTCCTAAATTGAGCAGGGACGTTTATTCCACAGTCATTACACGTCACACATTGTATGTGACACTGTAGATTGTACGCTAGACTTGTTTTCATGCAGTTACAGATCAAATTCCTAGAATGGCACTTTTGCTCTTGAGTAATACAATTTATCTATATTTTTAGAAAAAAAGCCATGATAATGATTACTTGTGTCTTTTCTTCCAGAAATTTCAAGATGCATCCAGAGCCGGTACAGCACCTCTCCTTAACAGAGTACAGCACCTCTCATTAAAGTAAGCAGGGAAGTTCATTCCGCTATCAATCTTTAGATATGCTTCGAAAAACCTTTTCTTTTATTTTTGAGAAATATTAATTGATGAGCAATACATTTTCATAAATTTGACAGGTTAGGTGGAGACATTATAATATTTAATTATTAACACTTAAACCAGGCTTTTATAGTAAAGGTGCTGAATGACACACTGTGGACTGTATGCTGAAATCGTTTTGATACAGTCACATATCAACTCTCTAGGATGCATACTTTTGTTCTTGAGTAAGACAATTTATCTACTTTTGTCTTGGAAAACTGCCAGATTATGACCAGTTGTCATTGTTTTAACATATTCCATACTAATGTTTGGCAGCTAGGACCTGTGCTGTCACAGTGATGGTCATTGAATTTTGGACTGGTATTACCAGTCACAGAATAGATCCAGAGTACAGCACTTTTTCCCTTAAACTAAGCAGGGAAGTTTATTCGACAGTCATTACACGTCACACTTTGTGTTGTCTGCTGGACTTGTTTTCATACAGTCACATATCAGATCTCTAGAATGCATACTTTTGCTCTTGAGTAAGACCGTTTAACTTCTTTGGTCTAGGAAAACTGCCAGATTAGGGCCAACTGTTACTGTTTTCTAAAACTATTCCATATCGATGTTTAGCAGGACTTGTGCTGTCACAGTGATGGTCATTGAATTCTGGACTGGTTGTGATACTAGTCACAGAATAGATCCAGAGTACGGCACTTTTCCCCTTAAACTAATACCTAGAATGCATACTTTTGTTGTTGAGTATGACCACTTATCTACTTTGGTCTTGGAAAACTGCCAGATTAAGGCCAACTGTTACTGTTTTCTAAAACTATTGCATATCGATGTTTAGCAGGACTTGTGCTGTCACAGTGATGGTCATTCAATTCTGGACTGGTTGTATTACCAGTCACAGAATAGATCCAGAGTACGGCACTTTTCCCCTTAAACTAATACCTAGAATGCATACTTTTGTTGTTGAGTATGACCGCTTATCTTCTTTGGTCTTGGAAAACTGCCAGATTAAGGCCAACTGTTACTGTTTTCTAAAACTATTGCATATCGATGTTTAGCAGGACTTGTGCTGTCACAGTGATGGTCATTGAATTCTGGACTGGTTGTATTACCAGTCACAGAATAGATCCAGAGTACGGCACTTTTCCCCTTACTCTAATACCTAGAATGCATACTTTTGTTGTTGAGTATGACCATTTATCTACTTTGGTCTTGGAAAACTGCAAGATTAAGGCCAACTGTTACTGTTTTCTAAAACTATTGCATATCGATGTTTAGCAGGACTTGTGCTGTCACAGTGATGGTCATTGAATTCTGGACTGGTTGTATTACCAGTCACAGAATAGATCCAGAGTACGGCACTTTTCCCCTTAAACTAATACCTAGAATGCATACTTTTGTTGTTGAGTATGACCGTTTAACTTCTTTGGTCTAGGAAAACTGCCAGATTAGGGCCAACTGTTACCGTTTTCTAAAACTATTCCATATCGATGTTTAGCAGGACTTGTGCTGTCACAGTGATGGTCATTGAATTCTGGACTGGTTGTATTACCAGTCACAGAATAGATCCAGAGTACGGCACTTTTCCCCTTAAACTAATACCTAGAATGCATACTTTTGTTGTTGAGTATGACCGTTTATCTTCTTTGGTCTTGGAAAACTGCCAGATTAAGGCCAACTGTTACTGTTTTCTAAAACTATTGCATATCGATGTTTAGCAGGACTTGTGCTGTCACAGTGATGGTCATTGAATTCTGGACTGGTTGTATTACCAGTCACAGAATAGATTCAAAGTACGGCACTTTTCCCCTTAAACTAATTACCTAGAATGCATACTTTTGTTGTTGAGTATGACCATTTATCTACTTTGGTCTTGGAAAACTGCCAGATTAAGGCCAACTGTTACTGTTTTCTAAAACTATTGCATATCGATGTTTAGCAGGACTTGTGCTGTCACAGTGATGGTCATTGAATTCTGGACTGGTTGTATTACCAGTCACAGAATAGATCCAGAGTACGGCACCTTTCGCCTTAAACTAATTACTAGAATGCATACTTTTGTTCTTGAGTAAGACAATGTATCTACTTTGGTTAGTGAAAACATGCCAGATAACCAATTTGTTATTACTTTTCTTTATAACAATAAAATATAACAGTGATTGTGTCGCTGTGGTGATGGCGATCCTTGAAATGAAATTGAAGTTGTATATATGAATTGATCATTCCTATTGCAGTCATTAATTAGTACCTAAACATTTATAGTGGAGATGGAGGTAATTGATGTTTTGACTAATTCTTACGCATTCACAATTAAAATAGATAGCAGGTCTTTTCAGGAGAGAATTGATATGATGAATTGAATTATAAATTGTGTACATTTATTTTAGTTAAGTTGTTACCATCTTCTATAAAGTTTAACAAACAAAATAACTGAAGAGAAAATCTAACAGCATTCTATACATGAAAGATACACTATTGGTTGTATACATGTTTTATATGACTGGGATGTAAGAAGATTTTAAATTATTTTTCTGAAAGTTGTATGAGGTACTTCATTTTCCAAATAAATGCTTTATTTTTTATTCTGGATTATTATCAATAATTGTATATCTACAAAATTAGATGTTGGCTTATGTCTTGAAATCAAAGAAAATCTATGTTCTGTAAATGACATTGAATGAAGGCCCTTGCATTTATCAGTGATACTTGATGTTAATTCAGAATATAAGGGAAATTAAATTTGACAGTGCTTTCTTAAAAAAAGATAGAAAGAAAGTTGTATGATATGGACACAGCAACACAGGGGGTAAGCAGGGCAGAGGTCTCCTTGATATACCTTGTATCTGAGATTTGAAAATAATATTCCTCACCTCCTGGCAGAGCTAGGGGTAACCTAGTCTCTTTTTCTTTTTCCTTTCTTCCATTCTCGTATAACAAAGTGACTGTTTTTCCCTCCCTAACAAAATACCCTGGTGCCACTCCTAGTATGACTTATTGAATGTTCAATCTTAATCACTTATTCTCTTATATTCACAACTGACATTTCTATATGCAATTTGTTTAAACTGGAAGTTTATTCTTTTTTTCAGTATTCATGGATAAATTGTATAGTACAAGGCTGTTAAGTGAAATAATATATATATATATATTGAAACTGCAAAAAAATTATAATTTAACTTATGAATTCAGAACTGTAAATAAATTAAGCATTTTATCAAAACTGAAATGTATGTTTTGTTCACTTTGAAGTTAATGAGCAAAGGTATGCTAGAAGAGGTTTGAGAGTAAATCAAATGAAATGAAATGAGAGTGCAATGAGTGTCATTGTTTGAGTCAGATTTTGGGGGTATGAGGGGGGGGGGGAGAATGAAAGAACAGAAATTGACCATTAAGGTATGATGTCATTGGAACACAATCATGAGGGGGCTGTCGAGGATGACTTGTGAGAGTGTAGCATTTATAAATATA